CGGAGGATCAGGGCCGAGTACCGGCGTTTCCGTAAGGAATATTTTTCCGGCAGCAGGGATCGAACCCACACCGCCTCCCGCGCGAGCGGCGTCGTTGCGGCATTTCACGAAGTGAAACGCATGTTTGCACGAGAAGCGACAAACGCGCTAACCACCCGTCGGGTAATCATCAACAACAGTCTCAAAACGGTGCGCCCTGAGGCAACGCTATAATCGGTCGTTTCTCTCCGATAATTACAGCGAGGGATCGGAGAGAAGTTCCGAAACACTGCAATGGATCTCCCACGGATGAAGCGACCCATTAGCAGGATCAACGACAATAAAGTCCATACCTGTGGGCTCCCTTGTGAGCATCTCGATGACTCCCGCAAAGAAGAAAAAAAGCCCAAAGATCGTGTCACCAAGAGATATACCGTTGAAAGACGACTCGGAGCCCGAAATGACGTGAATATCGCCGGAGAAAAGGTCATCGAACTGCTTGAGTCGCTTCGATCGGGTAAGACAATCGATGCAAGTATGTAGCCGGCCGTCGACACGCCTTCCTTCTCTGTCACTCACTCATGCTAGACGATGAGAATTCCTGGGATGAAATTACTTAGTTGGAATCGCTTACAGGAGTCGAATCTGGTGACTTCGAAGCAATCTCCGAAGCACTACATCGAATGCGCGGTGCATTGTACTCCACAGAAGACGTTGATACGGTAGTCAGCGGGAACATCTACACTCTGATGGACGCCTGCCTTGAGCTCGAAGAATTCGACATACAGCATAGCGTCCTATGGATTCTGTCGAATATCGCTTGCGGAGACTCAAATCATGTCGCGGAGGTCGCCGCACGCCTCGAGAAAATTTCGCCCGTCATCAAGAAAGCCAACGTCGCCGAAGAAACGCTTGTCCAGGGCCTGCGACTGCTCGCGAATGTCGCTGGGGACAGCCCTGAGTATCGAGACTTGGTCGTTCGCCACTTCTCTTTCGAGGCTCTGAGGAAATCCTTCGAAGGAAACAGTTCTGCGCAAGTTCTTGAGGACGCCGTCCGGCTTCTATCGAACATTGCCCGGCAAGGACCTCGGGTTGGCGCTCGGATGGGTCGGAAGATTCTCGAAAGCTTTTACCATATACTCGGTTTCCTTCATTGTGAGTGCCGAGTGGTCTCCGAGATCTGTAAGGCCCTGCTTAACGTTCTACATTATTTAGAGGAGCCGAGCACGCTGAATCTTTTGGCGAGCTTAAAGATAATGCTGGTCATGGCTCGTCATCCATATACTGTGCAGTGCACGCAATCGTGTCTCGGTGATTTAGTCTTGCTGATAGCCGATTTGCTCTCTACAAGCGACGAATTATGCGAAGAGTTCATCGACCAAGGAATCCTCAATCCTCTCTCGATTGTGCTGCATGGAGAGATCTGCGAACTATATCAACTCGCCTGCTTCGCGATCGCGAATGTTTTCGCAGGCAACCCCGCTCTTATACAGCGAATAATCAACAAGGACCTCCTGAAGGTCGTCTTCCACGTACTGGAACACGGGGACTTGGAAGTCCGGCGCGAAGCTGCGATCGCCCTCTGTTGTTTCGTCGAGAACGCAGACCATCGACAGCTACTCTATGCCATCAAAAAAGGCATGCTTCCTCCGGTGGTTCGCATGCTGGACCATTTCGATGCGAGTATCGTTACCGATATCCTTGCATCCCTTCTCAGACTGCTCTGCAGAGCGAAGGACAGAAAGATGGAGGATGAGCTGATTCGTGGCATGGATGAGGCTGGAATTGTTGAAAGACTACAAACCCTCGTAGACCACGATCACCACCCGATCTCTCAGCAGGCTGAAGGCTTCATTCACTTGTATCTGGTTCCTCGTGGTATGCTCGAGGTCTGGGTAGATGCCTCGCAATTTGATCCGCCCAGCGAAGAAGATGCGAATTGATTCTTCCCGCAGGAAGTTCCGCGTGGCGCTGACAATGTTAAGGGCGGAATGCCGAATCTCCCATCGATACAATAATACGCCGTTCCGTTCTTACGTTATGTACAGGCGAATAATCGTTCTGTATCAAATTGAATGCCCATATGAGGAACCGAGGGTACGAAACTCCGATGTGTCGGTGTACCTAAATTACTGAGCGGAGATGAAAGAGCACCGGAGCCGTGACCGTCTGAATAGAACTTGGTCTCGAGCCCGGGGTTGACCGGCAACGAACGCCAGGACTGAAGCGCTGGAGGAAGATTGATGATAAGAGGCCAAACCCCGATCCCCGACTGGGTAGACCGGGAAATATTAATATACTAAGAATAAACTCTCAACACCGAAGTTTCATTCAGATCCGGGCTGAACATCGTCTTGCACTTCTCAGGCTCCGTCTGAGAAATATCAACCAAGTAGGTAGAATGAGAAAGAATCAAAGTCTTCCGGAGGCTGACATAGGCAGTCCTTGCAAATGTCCAGCGAGCAATTTATCAGCTGCACATGGTATGTGTCGGTACATTTGCAGAGGCCCATAGCGGAGATTCGCTTTCAACTCGATGTTCGTGAGTCGATCAGAGGCATCAGTTGAGCTGTTTCTCACATACTCATCCATCGTACTGGAAGACAGTATGGGGCAAGGCAAACTCGCCGACTCCGGAGGGCCTCTTTCTTCCAGCGTCAATGGAACCTCGCTGATCGGAGGACGAGAGCTTCGCGCCAGGAAATGAGGGCGGAATCTCTCTCCATCGTACAGGGGGAATTCATTGTAGCAGTGGAATTGGTTCGAAAGATTGGAATGCTTTTCGTGAAGCTCACGAGCTCATATTCCCGGAACCGCACTCGAGTCCTCAAATAGGCTGCATAAATACATACACGTAGGCTCCTGATCCCAAGACGCGCCCTCATGGCCCTGCTGAACTCTTTCCGCTTGGGTCGAATCATTTAAGTCGAAGAATGTACCACTCGCTTCTCAGCCAGAAATCGGAGAACAATGATCAGCTTGTCAGATTTTCTTCGAAGTCTGTCGATCCGGAATATTCTCCCATATTCCTGCGACACCGGTCCGGGCAATCGCACACACAGAATGAGAAGAGAAGCTAGAGGCCCTATGCGAATAGAGTGAGTTACTCAAGCAATCATTGAAAGCTTGGTTCGGCCTCCATCATTCAGCTGAGATGTGCCGTCGATCGAGAGCGATCCTCCAGATAATAAGTATCCTGAACGAGAATGTATGATGGGAGTGGAACACATGGACATGGAGACACCGTTCCCATCACAGGGCATCACATCGCAGCCCATAGAGTTCTTGGCTGTCCTTCTTTGGTGCGCTGGTTAGGAAACCTCCGGAAAGTCCTCATTCGCTTCGTAGATTGAATATCGCGGAATACGGCCCATAAGTCGAGCAGGAACCAGCGTGAGGAGTTGGATCGGGAGAGAATTTCCCCTGGGCATGCACTCTCAGAACGTCTCCGCGGAAAAATCCCACTTCCTCTTCGTTCACGGCGGTGGTAGGGGACGACAGAAGACAAGCAAAGCGAGAGGGTAGATGATCGGATCCGGAGATATCCGTCACGCTCGATGAACATCGAAGCGCATCGTCCAGATGAGGAGACCCTCCTGTTGCTAGAGGGAAATCAGCTCGAGGACGTTATCCCGGCGAGCGACAGACTTCCGAGCGTTGAGCGCGGATTGGATGAAGATTGTCAGATGATCGGCGCGCCGCGCCGCGGAACACCGTTGCTTGACACCGATTAATGAAACTATGAAGATCAGACTTGACCCTTGTGTACGCTCATATCTACATTGTCTGGGCCAACCTTTCCGCATTCTTCGGCCCTCACGGCACTGAAAGACGAGCGATTCTCTTTCAAAAACGCTCGGAGCGGATGCGACACTCAGACGTACGGCTGTCACCTGTACGCTGCGCCAGGAGGTCTATAAATACTCGCGCATATTACGTCAACTGGCCCGAAAATTGCCGAATAAGCGCCGCGCGCATACGTTCACCGATCAAAACGAGTTTCCGTCCCATAATCGATCGCCTCAGCCGTCGTGAGAGATTCTCCGTCGGAGGACGGATTTGCAGTCGACTGCTGTACCAATTCAAAAATTGAAGAAATATCTCGCATTCCCCTCTGGCGGATGAATATGCATCGTGTTAATGCTCATGATCAGCCCTACTAAGTCGAGCAAGACCTCAGATAGCCCGGTGGGCATGCGGCGGATAATATCGAAGAGTGAGTTTTCTCTAGATTCTGGGCGTCTTCCGCTTGATAAATGTTGGCACTGACGAATCAAGGTGTCCGCTCATTGCCGAATGAACACCTCGACCGTGAACCACAGAGCATGAATAGACCGCTCGCCCAAGATTTGGCAGCGGGACGCCGTCCTGAAAAATTATATGCTGCACCGTGGTTTCTTTTTCTGAGTTCTCTACTCGCGTCGTCTTAATTGGAGAAGACGGGAGCGGAAAGAAGGGCTGAGGAACGAAGAGTGAGGGGTGAAGAACAGATCATGGCTCACCGAAAGCCGCAGTGCTCTATCCCGTCCCAGTAGCGGCATCATAAGATGAGAAAGTGGATGGCGACGCTGCCGTGAAGTTTGTTCTGTCTCTTTGTTCACCTTGTCAGTCAACCTGCGCCACATCGGAAATAGTTCGGATAGATCTCCCGCGCTTTGATCCTAGACGTCATCAAGTGAGTTCAATGATAGACTTCTGTAGGCCAGAATTATTCTTCGTTCATGCACTCGGCTAGGCTCAGTGATTTTACTCTTCCACCGTATCATCCATGGCTGCGTGAAGGGAGCGCGAGCAGCCGAAGCGAAGTATCACTGAGGTCAAGGGAGTCGGAAAATTCGCAGGGCCGTGCGCTGTGCTTCTAGGAACAACGGTGGATTTTCGAATGAAAATGCCGCAGCCAAGATGCGCCGAGCAGGAAGTAGTCTTTGAGAAACTCATGACCGTCTTCCCGAGCCGAGAAGTGCCGAGTTCAGGGAATGATATTCGCTCATGACCGGTATTATTTCGGATCATTTGCCGGCTAACGTCTTTTCTGGGCGACTCGTCTCAAGCGGGGGTGGCGATCGAGTGAGGTCCGGGCGATTCGAGTTGTTTCTGACGCTTTTCAGTGATCCTACTCGGGCATCTCATCCCGAAGCTCATCGTCAATCGCCGATAAACGAAGAATGTCGTCATGAAAATACAAAGTAGGAAGGAAGTTACACGCTGACAGTCCCGAAAACGAGATGGGCGCAGGAAGTACTCCCGATAGCTCGCTGAGAGTTCCAACATTCATTGAGTACAGGCCGGTGTCGGGGATACACTACTCCGTCTGATATCGACGATGCTTCAGGAGGGTCGGGTCTCTCTGGATTAGGATAAGACTGATTTCCCCTGCTCCCCCCAACGCACTGGGGTCGCTCAGGTGGACAACGCAAGCCCCCAGTTCTTTGCTGTTCTCTTGAGGAACTTGCCGAATGCGATCGGGCGTGAAAATGATCTTGTGGGCGTCCTGATGTTCGCTGATGATCTGGTCCTGTTCTCCCCCTCTAGGCTCCCCCTCGAGCCATGAGGACTCTCGGGAACTACACGTCCGAGAACGGGCTGGTGATCAACACGACGAAGATCGTCAAGTTTGGAAACGGAGGCCCTGAGGCCCAGGGAGATCTGTTTCATACTGCTGGTGGTCCCACCAGCGGAGGAGGTTCGCTACTTATCATACTCCGGCATTGTTCTCTGCCGTACTCGAATCTCCTGCTCAAGGCATATCGCAGAGAGAGTCCAGAAGGCGAGGCTGGGACTGGCTTCGATTCCATCCCCGCGTCAGCTATCTATTCGAAGCGCACTTGCGCTGTTTGATCTGAAGATCGCCCCTGCCGCGTCGTACGGCATCCAGTTGGCATGGACTGAGACGAACGCCCCACTTCGAAAGCCCTCTTCAGCAAACTCTCCAGACAAACTCAAGGCAACCTTCTTGAAACTCGCGCTGGGCGTTCACCGATCGACCAGAAAGATTGGTCAACTGGCGGGCTGATAAGAGCTTGCTATCGGAAGAAGTTCGTGAGAAATTCAACCTACCGATCACCGACGCTTACAGCACACATCTCGTGCGCTGGCTGAAAAAGATGACGGACCTAGACCCACAGTTCCTGCAGACCCCGGCGATGAAGAAAAAATTTCTGGAGAGAGGCTCAGTGCAAAATCCGTAGTCTACTGAACAGAGGCGCAGTACACGATTCCATCACGTGTTGTGTAGAGATGTGGGCTGTCATTTGGCAGAATATGATTGTTTGTGCCTACTCTGCTCGAGCCCATGTGACCATGTGACTCATGTATATTCCTCTCCAAACGCACAAGAGATCGATTGGCAAAGTGAGACGACGTGATATATGTACTTTTATTTAGAACTGTACGCGCGCGGAGACAAAATCAATACACCATAGCATGGTAATAAACGCATTTAAGAGGAGAGCACAGGCGACCTCCGCCCCAGGAACCCACGGCCTGCCCCTCCCTGCGGAGAGTATCTCGAAATGATCTCGAGGGAGAACCAGGGGCGATGGGGTCTCGCACCCCAGGGTCTACAGGCAGGTATACTGAGAGAAGCGCGTCATCAAGGTAACTACGAAAGGCTCTATCAACCCAGCCTCGCTAGTGAAGGATGTGAAAGCAGGGGAAGAAGGCTTGGAACTTCTGCATTGAGGTTCTTCTTCTGAAGTCAGGATTTATGAGAGTTCCGAAACTTTCCGTAGAGCGCTAATGGAATCTCTCTGTATCGTGGAACACTCTCATTAGGATAAGGCTCGCTGCACACGTCCGGGCGATTGATCAGAATCATTGAAAGGACTTCGATCCAAAAAAAACCTCTCATCTCATATCGGTCTGCTCTGATAGTGATGCCAATCTTGAAGTGGTAATCTCTCCTTAAACGTGTAAAAAACTTCCGAGTTCCTGTGCCCAGTGAATCGTTTCGGCTGTCGGTGGAGCGAAACAGTAAGAATGAATGCATGAAACATTTATGGCTAGGGCGACAAATTACTATTTATAGATAAATTCATCATTATTCCTTGACGCTCCGATGACGGTCGGATTATGTTATATGTCTGAGGCAGAGACGCCGGATGTGCCGAATTCCGGTTTCCCGCCTAAAGACACTTCCGAAAAGACGAGCATTGTTTCGGGAATAGAATAGCTGACGTAAGCTTCCCGGGAAATTTTGTTTGCAGAGAAAATACGAGCTATTGGTATGTGGAGAGCGTCAGCACGCCGCTTTTTTGCGGAGAGCGGATTGAAGAATGATTGCGGACATTGGCGGCGTTTGGGAGATTATCCAACGATGGCGGTAGAGATATCGTGTGAGGGAACCATCTGAGCGCTGTCAGAGGGATCGATTCGATATTTCAAGTTCATGGTCCCCAAGGCGACCCTGCCGGACAGCTCTGGGATGCGACCGATGAAGTCTGTTTCCGGTGCATCGATTGTTGAAGGTTCGCTCGTGATGATGCAGCTTAGTGTATCCCATTCCGATCGCGGGGATACCATATGCGCGCCCAAGAAGGACTTGGCGCCGAAAAGCTCGGAATTCACATACAAGCTGGGGCTCAGCACGATTCGAAACGATAAGTTCCAGAATGCTTCGAGAGACCAAGAGAGAACGGAGAAAATCCGATGTTTCCGAGTTGCTCGCGGAGATATCCAGGTTCCATGTGACTCGGTCCCATGATCTCTCAGTTTTTCGGAGAAATCAGAAGTCTGCACCTGTCGTCGAGGGTGGAGAATTCGAATCGGCCGCAGCATGCGAGCTTATCGAGCCTCCGACGGACTGAGTGACTGTCTCCCTCTCAAGTGTCGTGCCGGAAATATTGGCATCAGGTGGACTAACCCGGTTTGTCGAATGACCCAAAATCAGCAAAACGTCATCCGTTGCGAAGACGGGAAAAGTCTTCGCACAAGAAAAACGCGACATCATCACTGTTTTCACTGCACGTCCTCATTCGATTCTGTGTCTCCACCCAGAATTCGACGAGTTCGACATTGAGCAAGTGACAGCCACGTGGATATTCTATTGATCAGGAAATGGAATATGGTGAACGAGTGCCGAATCTTCTTCTGACGAGAACGAGCCATTTCTTCTCAAAATGATTCGCACCCTTCACTTTCATCTCGAGGAAGAATCCACTGACATTGGATCGATCAAATCGTGCCCTTCAGCGACCACACGGCCGGACGTTCCGCACCGCCACTTCTGCAAAGGAAAGCCGACAGGAGAAAAATCGCCCTGCCGGATTCCGGGACGTCCCCGATCCGCTCTGTTCTCCGAAAGCGGCCGACGGTCAGGCCCTCGAAGAAGAAGAACAGGAAGGAGTGCTGCGGGGTATTCGAATACTGGCGCCTCAGACCCGGAGTCGTAGCCCGGCTGCATCGGACCTCAAGTGGCACGAAGCGCTTGACGAGCCCCTCTCACAGAAAATACAGAAAGCCAGCTGCTGCCGGCAATGTGAAGTTCCACCACTAGTCATCATGTGTCGTCAGTCAGTTACCTAGATCAGTCGCTCTAGCAACGTCAGTGGCGCAGTGAGAAGTCGGGAAGCGTTCCTCCGCCATAGTCAGATACGAGAGGCATTTGGCCTGCTTTCGGAAAAATTTCCCTTTCGATGGTGAGTATTTCACGAAGGTGCTCCTCAAATCATTCGATAACTCGCATTGGGACTCGAGGCCTCCACTCGTGCGTCGGATGAAGTGGAGGAATGTAGCCGCTTGACAGAATCAGTGCTCCCTTGGAACGGAATGCCCGATTGAATCATCGGCAGCGAGAGAGCCGCTCCTCTCGAGAAATGGATTAGTCTCCAGATTGTTCGAGACGATTGCGCTTTCCCTGACGAGTGGAATTCCCGGAGTGATCCAACCTGGCGTTGTTTATCGCTCCTGTGGAGTCAGTGTGGACCGTCGTCAACAAATCGGTGATATCGTGTTCACGATCCCCGCGTGTCAATCGTGACACGAGAACTGAATCGATTGGGAGCAAGAAACCCTTCGGATGTCACCGCCCGCAACTCCCGTCGGACCTTTCCGGGGCAGCAGTGATCTTCGCGTAATAATTCATTCTGAAGCTCCCCTTCAGCTCCTAGAGAACCTGCCTCCCATACGCTAGGGCCCCGATGGATGTCACCGACAATGAACGAATTGGTCCTCTCCCCGACTCCGAACGCAAAGGAGTCATCGTATTTCGTGTGTGGTTGATCGTGTGCGGCGGCAACGACTCTAGAGAAATCATTATCGATGGCAAACTCTGCAGACGTTATCGCCCCACTATGATACGGATCACGAATCGGACTCCTTCTGGCTTACTACATAGCGGAGTCAGCCAGCGTAGATCTTCTCTTATCTGGCAAAAGAGCGCCGATGATAAAACAAATAACGATAATTCCGCGGCGTGCGAATACTTTCGTCAGCATCGAGAAAATACGGAACATTGTAGAATCAGCGGATGTAGGATGTTCACGGGATACTTTCGCCGGCAAGGACGGGGAGCAGGTGTAATGATTCGGCGTGCCCGGCAGCTCTCTTTGCTGCCGCATTTTTCCTGGAAACAGGCCTAACTTTGGCTCAACCCTTGGGCGTCTAGCCTGATTCGAATCTGGAATCCGCACAGCTCACGACCGCACAGGCGTCGAAGTCTGAGTATACGATCAATAAGTAGAGGCATTGCTTTCATGTATTGACATGACCTAGTTTCGCCACTGGGGGGCATTTCGCAATCGATCAAAACAAGCTAAATCGGATCATTCTATTGCTCTTTCAGGTTATTAGTCTCGGAGTCAGCTGTTGGAAAACTATAGATTCTCTACTGAACTGTGATCATGGTGAAGTCTAAAGACGTTTCCGTTTCTCTGACTACCAAAGGAGACATCTCACCACAGCCGCATATCGATGAAGATCGTCCATCTACATCAGTGGGTAAGTAACGCGTAAGCTGGGGGCGGCTTCCGATGTCGGCCATCTAAAGAACAGAGTTTCGATCCGGGACGGACCTTCCATCTGAATCCCCACACGAAAGGCGGGAGAGGAAGCTAGCTGACGAAGTGTACGGGAAGGGAATGAACTTCTACGCGGACAATCCGTTCGTCATCGAAAGTATGCGAGGTGTTCTCAGAATGTTCCCGTTCATACCGCTCGTCGAATCGAAATTGTGATGAGAGCGTGAGTCAACGGGACACCGCCGAGAACAACGGATCTTGTAATAGAGCGAGGCTTGCCGAAGAGATACGTAACGGATTAAGTGCTCTGCGTGAATTGATCCTGATGCGCAGACGCCCGATTACATTGTAGCGCATCCTCAGTGGTGACTTATGCGACGCTCTCGAGTGAATGAAGCCGTCTCTGGCTCGACATTCGGATTGAACTCTGTGTGAGTAATCAACTTACGGTGCCGCTAACACCTCGCCATGCACGACGGTATCGAAACTGCGGACGGGTACCGGAGCAGCTCGAAAGGTAACATCGAGGAGGAAACTATGCCTCTGGTCGGCGACAAAAACGCGTCTGGTTCGAGGACAAGGGCGTGGATGGTGCCCTCACGCCATGGCCGGGAGTTCGCAGCGGTCTGCGGTGCGTGTGCTATCACATTATTCAATGATGATGATGCCACCCTCATTTGAGCTTACGCACCTCCTCTCTCCACCAGCAGCTTTTCGCAAAGTCAACAATGAGAGTAGCGTTTACGACAGCCTCATCGAACGCACTGGTTAGATTGAAACGGAGGAATCGATCGTCTAGGACTCACTGACGTAGGGCCATGAAAAAAATTAGAATTTCCCTCTAGAACTCGAAGCACTAGGCGCCACCTATTCTCAGAAAGCAGTCGGCTACTCATCGAGCCGTGGAAGGATCCTCTCAGAGCCTGGGGCAGAAGAGCGAACATGAAATTCCCAAATCCCCTGTTGGATCCGATACCGAATGCCACCATCGAGTTGCACTCCGATAGCATCGGCGGCGGGGCTTGACTTCATCAAGCCACACAATCCCCTGGGATGTCTTGGGAATAGATTCGGAGAGTCACTACGCTGCTCCGACGAGCCTATCGTTCGGATACTCGGCAGTGGCTCGAGCGCTTGCGCGGTCCTAGAGGCCGCTTCCCTTTGAATGATGAGAACAACGAGGTTTTGTTGGTTGTTCATTCTTTGAGCTGGGGTCAAAGGCGCTCCGCGTCCAACTGTCTCCGTACTCTGTCCTCCTGACCCGATACGGAGAGGCTTGGACGCTAAGCTCGCGCCGACGTATCCCGTGCCTTTTGGCGAATGCCCAAAGTTCAAGAGAGTTTATTGTTCCTCGGGGCAGAGGCGTAAGGTTTCACCGATACGAGAGCGTCTGCGAGCTGGGAGATGACTCGAACGATACTTTCTGTCAACTGCAGCCTTTCCGCGCTGTGACTCTCTGCCTGTGTCTCGAGAAACAGTGTTCTAAGACGTCGGTTCGATTAGTGCGTGCTCTGTCTGCGGCGGACATGTGGCTGCCAGTGTTACCATTCCTGATGAGTGTTGGCTGTGGAACAGCAATTTTGGCCTATTTCCTCAAACTCGGGTTGCTGAGAGGTAAATCCATGTCGCCCGATTTCCTCTTTGAGCGGGAACGCTCGGCGAATTCTTTTCGAAGATTCGTTCTCTCTTGCCTCAGTCAGAACATCTTCTTCCGCTCCGCGATCTGTTTGTGACCGTGGTAGAAGGAAACTGTCACTCAAAAACTCGTGGCGGACACAGCTAACCAATCAAACCTCGAATTCGTCGATGGCGACATCCGAAACTTCACACGACATTCCTCACATCACTGTGATTGAAATCTCCCCGTCCTTCGGCTCAACTTCCGGTGTTGTTCTGACCATTTTCTGTTCTCGGGAGCAGCTATTAGAGGTAGTTGTTCTCTAGCAAGTGACGGGAGAGTCGTGACATCAACTGCCTAGATACTCGCACGCAAAATTCTCGAGCGCATCGTTTCACTTCTCGACCGCAATCTTTTCTTCACGCACTTTCCGCCGATCCGGCGAGTAGTATGTCCGGTCTCCTATTGATACGAATATTCCGTGTTCCAGATGAGTGCAAGGACGAGCCGAAGAAGAACGGCTCGCGAACACATAAGAAACATTCGGTCGATGACAAAGACGACACATATGTCCCCCCGGAAGTGCCGGATCCTTTTCGATTCCGGATACATTTGACGCCGACAGACAAAATCAAGGTACGAGATACCTTCTCGATGGAAGTTATCCAGGAGTTGATCTTCGCTCCTCATCCCATATTTCAACCCCTTCCCTCCTCCGCTCCTTCCCTAATTTCGGTGCTGTATGCGAGTCTCCGCTAATTAGGGCTCTTTCAGGTGGCGCTGATGACGATTTTCGTGGTGCCCATAAGGGTGTTCCTAGTGACGTTTTTCCTTTTCTTGACATGGCTCGGTTGTTTCATCGGACTGTTAGGATACTCAGAGGAGGAGCTGGAGTCCAAACCCATTCAGGGTTGGAGACGGTACGTGTCGAACAATAGGCGTCTTGACGGAACGATTCATTGAAAATTTTTAAGCCACCTATTGATCAGTTATGGAATGAATTTCATCCTTCCTTCGACCTTCGAGAACGAGTTCCTTTTTGGAATGGTTTGGTTGCTTGTGACGCCGCTCTCTGTATGCGGTTTTCCTCCCGAGAACGAATAGTCCCCGGCTCCAAGAGCCGAGCCGGATTCGATCGATCAATCGATCGATTGATTGATCGTTTTGATTTGCGCACACGTTTCCGTTCATACAGAAAATGGTGGCATCCACTGTTTGCGACCGTGATGCGACAAATGTTCATCTGGGGTGGTCTCCGATGGGAGTTCAAAGGACGCTTAGCGAGCCGAGATCAGGCACCTCTTCTGGTCATCGGTCCCCATTCATCGTTCATGGATGGAGTGATCGTGCTCCTCACGGGAGGGAAAGCACCTTGTACAAAGAATGACTCAAAGCATATTCCCCTGCTCGGAAGTAAGAACCGAAACGCCAAAGTGGCTTCTTTGAAACTGACAGATGCAGGGAGCCGCTTTTGCCTGGGTGCATGAGGGGAGGCACGAAATGGGAATCTTCATCCCATTCGCATGACTAACAATCAGCTGCTAGGGCGATGTCATTCGCCGGAGCATTCCCGCACGTTCGCATGCCGCGATTTCCTCTTGTCTCGTTGTCTGATTCCTTGTCCCAAGTCTCTCGAGGAATCATTCTCGTCGGATATTTCTTCGTTATTCGTCGGTCTCTCGGTGCTTGAATCGGTGGAGGGAACTAACCATTTGCGTCTCCATTCGTGTCTGCTCGTCGGGTGCAGAGGATGGCGAGAAAGTGTGCGCTCGATGGTATTCTGGGCCTTCCGCACATTCCTCATCAAGGTGGAATTCCGAGGAGAGCGGGCTCCACCTTCTGAGGCTCCAATCCTCGTAGCAGGACCTCACTCGTCGTTCTACGACTTCGCCACGGTGATTGCCAAGAGCCCTGTGCCCTCAGCTGTTATCCGGGACGAGACTGGAACCGTTGTGATTTCGAGTAAGCCGCTGAATCGAAATTCAATGCGTGCCTCCCCAATCGTGACACGTGACTAACGCAATCGACCTCTGTACTGAACTCTTCGGCGATACTAAAATATGTTTGAGCAGCTAAGCAACTAACGCGCATTAATGACGATCAGTCGGTGGTTCGAGATTTAATTCCCAAATGTTCCCTGCTCTTCGTAGCAATCCTACGCTTCATCCAGCCCGTATTCGTCAAGAGGAGTAGCAAGGAGTCTCGTCTAACGACATTGACCGAAATAAAAAATCGCGCCACCTCGAAGGAAGCGTGGTCGCAGATCGTCATTTTCCCCGAAGGCACGTGCTCCAACGGAAGTGTTCTCATCAAGTTCAAGCAGGGTGCATTCAGCGCAGGGGTACCGATACAGCCCGTGCTTCTCCGATACCCGAATCGATTGGTAAGGTGGAGTCCGTCGTGAGGTGTCACTCAGCATGCGTTCCCGAAGTGACGATCAGCTTCGATTTCGCCCCAAAGACCCTGGCAGCCATTGTAGACCCGAGAATGACCTCATTATGCATATTTTTGCAGAACACTTTGACTTGGACGTGGGATGGTCCTAGCGCCCTGAAAACGATGTGGCTGACGACTTGTCAATGGACGACGAAAATGGTGATTGAATATCTTCCCGTGTATTGCCCGTCCGAAGCAGAGCGCCAGAATCCCACTCTGTACGCAGAAAACGTGCGACAGCTGATGGCCGCCGCCTTGGGGATCGGAACAACTGAATTCAGTTACGACGACCTACGCTATTTGAACACTGGTGATAGTCGTCAGAGTCAGCACACTCTAGCCATTGTTAAACTGCTCAAGTTCAGAACCAAGAACGGGTAAGAGTTCAATGATGATGTTTCGACTGACGGGAGAAAGCTTCTCTAAACGAACCTAATTCCGTTAAAAAGGCAATCGAAGATTATTGATTGGTAGCATATACGGGGTCGAGTCGCCTTTCCGGAGGTGACTCGGCCTGGGGGCATCAATCAGGCTGAGGGAGGACGGGACACTAAGAGTCTCTTTTCTGATTTCGGCAGCCTGAAACCTGAGCAGCTTCCTGACGAGATCGCGAAAATCAACGATCTCATAGAAAAGAAAGCCAAGGACGAATCGGGCGTAGTTCAAGCTACCCAAGCGGAGATTCTCGCTGCTCTAGGGCTCGAATCGTCGGAGGCAGCACGCGAAATGTTCGGAATTCTGAACATGGTCAAGGACACAAGTCTTGATGGTAGCGAGGACCAAACTCCGGAAGAGCTCGTTGACCTCCGCGTTTTCTTAGCGTCGTTACATTTAGTGAACATGGACGGTCAATCTGCATTTAAGGTACGGAGTGATCTGGTTCCCCCGGATTTTCCGAATACAATTCATTCTGATCCCGAAATGGATTTTCTTTGCGATGAAACCTCATGATGAATCTCTTGCGAAAAGGCATTATCACTTCAATTCAAAATCATTGACTTATGACGAATTTCCAGGCTTTGTGTACTGACGGAGAAGAAATTCCCTCGCAGTCAGCTTTCTGTCGCTTGTGTTGGATTGCCATGCAAATCCCAGTTACGGACTCCCGAGCTCTTTATCACTACCTGAAACCTATCCTGTCAGCTCAGACATTCAAAGAATACCTCATCAGTCATCACGATCGTTGCAAGGGAGTGGTTTACTTCGATGGAGGCAAGCGTCTTGCCGTAGAGGCTGAACCAGGGAGCGATTCGACCACAGATCAGTCGGTCAAGCGGCAGAAGGCTGAGTGAAAAATCAGTGAGATCCACGACCGTGACAGACGTCCGGCGCAGAGGAACTGGAGCGGTGTGCGATTCAGCAAAGGAATATTTAAAACCGACGCCGACGGTCGATGGATGAAAGGAGCGGATGCTCATACAAACACCGATACCGCAAATTTCTCCTCCCCCCCCCTCGAGAGCCAGAAACTTGAGAACTCCCCGTAGAGACCATGAAGTTGTTTTAGAAAGATGAACTGTAGGGATCGATGAGAATATACCCTTGCTGAGAATCATGCGGTAATCGGTGTTTGTGAGTGCTCCGTTGACATTTGAATAATTTTCCAATTATTCAGGAGAAATTTGTGTATGTAACTTTCTTGATCCCGATCGGTTGGCATCTCAAGAACCATGCGCTCAACCGAAATCGGAGCGAGTCGCAGAGCCAACCGGTGCTTCACACTGTATATAAGTAAACGAAAGATTAGGAAATTCTATGAGGAGGAGCACGAAACGGCAGTATCATCGGAGCTTATCATGAAAGTTTCATTATCAGGCCAGGGGTGATTCGACAGTATCTCTCTCATCCCCATGGCCCCTATTGTGTCTTGTCGATGAACTGAGAATGACAACAGCTGGATCTCTCCGCCGCGGACACGCTCCGTTGAAGAATTGAGGAGGAAGGTTCGCGAAATCGAATCGGAAAAGTCGAGTCTCTCTTGGAGAGGTCCTCAAAAATGTCGAATTTTTCTTGTGAGGTAATTGTATCGAATGGAACAACGATGGTTCTAAAGCCCTACCTGCACCAAGAGGTCCGGTGTTCTCATTGCTGACTATTAAATTTTGGCTCGGATTCCGATTTGAGGCCAATCGATCGGATGACCGAATGATGAAATCAGATTTGCAGATGGCATTCTGGGAGCTTCTCGTCCCATCGTGAGCTAGGGGCCTTAGGTTTCCACACTCATCCAATTTACCTCCTCAGTTCAGGGATGACACCATGAAGGAGAGCGACGACCATTTTTTATTTCAATGATTTGTCTCGCTTGAATACACCGGACTAGTATCTGATCTTCAGACGCATCAAATTCTTCGAAAAGTAGGTGGGTATACTGCTGCTCACAACTAGATCCCGATCGCCCGGCAAGACACCTGGAATTTTGATTCTCCTGGCATGGAGGTGGAGGGGAATATCCCGCACCTGTTCCGAGGAGATATTTGATTAGTCGAGGAGATGCGGCACGCGAAAAAGAAAGCTCGGAGGGAGATTGGTGGTGTGATCTGTTATGTGTCATCATGAATATGGAGGAGACTAACGCGGCATACCTTTTGCTGACGAACTTTCAATCTGTCGAGCATCTCTCCCGGGAGTTTTTGAGGACCAATCATGGTCAAGTGAGAGTACTTATGGTCTCCCAACACGGGACAGCGGAGACCTAGTCCGAGGTGCACTCTGATTTGGTGTTTGTATCCAGTTTCTGGCCACAACCTCACGAAAGCTGCCTTTTCCGAACTACTTATGACTTTGTATCTCGTGACGGCCGGATACGTTTTCGAGAACTTCGGCAAGCTGACGTCCGATCCGGGTTCCGCTCTGAGGGAGTCGACAACAGTTACGATCCGAATCCGCGAATTCACGGCACGACCTACGTCTCGGGGTCTGTCATGCACAGGATGGCAGTTTGGACGGTACTCACGTGGGGACGATAACCATCCGGGTCCGGCCGTCCACTGACCCTTCCGCAATCGCCTTGTCGATCACCCCTTCCTTTTCTGGTGGAACCCTGCGTGTTATGGCGACGTATTCCTTCTCTATGAGCCGAGATTTGAACATTCCTTTCACTACATCAGCCATACTCTTGTTTTTCGCGAGGCAAAGGACACCTGCGGGAATATCATACGGTTAAATCTGAACTTTCATACGTTATCGAATCGCAGTGCCGTGTGCGTCCTCTGCCGGGTCGACACGATCTTCGAGCATGGATATGCGAAATAGATGCTTGAAAATGTTCCTCCGGATTTCCGCCTCACCCGTGGCGTTTTTGTCGAGTCGATGGAGTGGGTAGAGTTTCTCAACGTTTAGTGCTTTTGCCATCTCGTCCAGATGCGTGGTGAGAATCATCTTATCGTCTGGTTTAAGGCCCCCGCCCGGCTGCATCGACAAGCCATATGGCTTGTTGAGAATCAGGAAATCCGGGGTATCGAATAGGATGTTGCGCAACAAACACTGTGAATAATAATTTAGGCTCATTCATGAAAACCCACCTCCCTAATAATTCTGCACCCAGCCAGCCTCTCAAATGGTTCCAGCGGGGTTCGGGATTAACAAAACTCCGCGAACGTTCGAGGGCTCCATTTCTCACCTTTCTCACTTCATCCTTAGACATCGTCCATATCTGAGGTTTGATTTCAGCCTTAAGAATTCGAAAACCATAGGAATCGGTCTTATCGGAAGCCTTGATCTCGTCCCTCTCGAGCCTCGTGGCCCTCGTGACCTCGAAAGCTGACTTGGCTTCGGAGTCCAGATCTTCGAAACTTTCTTCACCCTCCTCGATTTTCCTTCTAACAGTCTTTATCTCGAAATCGATCTGCCCCAGGGTTTTTGGCTGGCGGAACGTCTTTTGACGATCTGTTCTACCGGCACCATGCTCCTGATCGAGCACGGACTCGTGCCGTGCAGCTGCTCCTATCCGAACGTCCGGCTCCTTTTTTTTCACCGGCGGAGTTTCCAACATCCTTGGATTTCTGTCATCTGGTTCGAACTCGCCGTGGCGTTGCGGACGATTGTCACGGTCACGTCTGTAGATGAATTCGTATTTTCGAGAGTGATGTCATTCTTCAGCAAGACATTACGTTAGGGAAGTCATATCGGAGCTCCAGCAGCAGGATGAGGGATATTCTCGTTCAGTATCTCCCGGTGCCACTCACCTGACGTAACCGAATCCCGTCCTCTCGAAGTTCTCATACGGAGAATAAGAGCCGTCCAACTCATCGTCATTTCTGCCGTCTCTCGACGCCCCTCTGGGCGCAGTTCTCAGAAGTCTCTTGGACGACTGACACAAAGTTTTCCGTAGAACGAACGAAAAGTTCAATCCGCGCACCGCCATGCGTTTGGAGTTTGTTTTCGGAAGCTTCTAGCATTCTCTCGGCCCGTATGGCTCCGTGAACATCATAGAAGCTTCAGCGCGAGCGGCTCGGATGCAGCTTCTGTTGCAAGCAAGGTACGGAGCGCGATCCGGTCTCCAATCGGAGAATGTTCCGCAGATATTCGTTGAGGAGAGAGCTTCGCAAAGAAACTTAACTGCCAAGCGATGGCGCGGCCTACCGATTACTCAAACAGGCCAGGGGGTTTGGAACCGCTCGAGTGGGGACCTGAAATGTTTTGTGTTTGGCGCGAATCGATTTCCTCTATCATCGCCTCCCGCTCGGGGGTCTTGCGTGGATTGGGACTCTCGAATCACCAGGAGTCGGAAGAATGGATCGTCTCGACGTGCAAATAAAGCTTGTTGCGGAATGTTCCCAGAGTTTGAACAGCAAGTTCATGGAGGACTTCAATCAGGTCGCGGAGGAAGCTTTGCGAGTTCAAGTAGGTTTCCAAATCTCTCCCGGCGCTATCGCTCAGAGTATCCGCGGCGACTTCGGCCAGAAACTCGGGAGATATGACGGCCGAAATTATCAGACGTAAATCAGTTCCGGATTCATCCTCTACAACCAGACTCAGATCAATCATCGCATCAAAGACCTCCATTCGGGTTTCTTCGATCAACATTCTAATCTGTCGAGCGAGTTGCGCGAGCTCAATAGGATTCGCACCACGCTTGAGGACGCGTGCGTGTTAATGACGAAATCGCTCCTCGGGATCGAAGTGAGTTGTAAGAACGTCGAGGAGGAAATTTCTGCAAACGAATACCGGAGCCGATGGTGGAATGACCTTAGGAGCACGGCACCTCTTCTATTCCAGGCAGACTCAAGCACCGAAAAATTGGAGAAAGAGATCTCCAATCGAGTGAAAGAGCTCGAAGAGGATAGAGCGAAATTAAACGAGATGCAGAAAGCCCTCGAGCTCAGAGAAGAGTGCGTTCGTGAGAGGCTGAATCATCTCGAAGAGATGAGGCGGCAACAGAGGAAAAGATTGCAAGGTGACACGCGCACACAGGTGTAACGCCATTGTCGAATCTGGGAACCTGGAATTCCGAGCGTTTCCCCGAACGTCTGGTACGAGCCGCGCTCCGTAAGATTGATTGTACATCGCAGGGGAATTGGATTCGTCGTATCTCGGACTGTTTCGATCGTTGAAACGGCTGCGGAGCGAATTCGAGGAGACCTATACGTGTGAAGAAGTGGCGACATCACTGGCTCTCGACACGGAAAAGAAGGCGGCGGAGAAGGCTCACGCCGCGTGCAAGAAGATGTTCCGGTCGGCTGAGAATAGAGTTCGGAGAATGGAAGCTGTTCGCAGAAAGCGTCTCGCTGCGTTCCGTTCAACTTTAGGTGAGCCCACTCATTCTGGAGTCCACGCGGGCGAATGGGTTCGTATTTCTCTGAGAAGGAGGACATGGACATAATCTTCTCATCTGCTCGAGCGGTGAGCATCCTATTCGAGTTTCGTTTGTAGTTTCGCCTATCACTCATGGACTTCTCATCCCAGATGAGCTCGATCAGCAACTCGCGGACACCGAGGACACTCCGTTTGAGGACGGTTCCGGCGAAAACTCAGCCGCGAATGTCCAGCCGATTTCTTGTCGTCTCGGCCTCATTCGGAAGACGACCACTTCAGAATCTCCTTCCGCGAAAGAGCTTAGGGAATCCCCGTCAAGGGATCCGGACTCTGATCCTGAAGCGGGTCATGTCGACATTCCGAGCGAGTCCCCGTATCCGGAGAGGATACAACTGGGAACTCCGGTATCCGCTTCAGATTTTGCTGAACCTTCATCGAGTCTACGGTCAGATCTCGATTCTTAATTTATTTTGTGATGACGCGCTTTGATGTTCGGAACTGCCAGATCGGAAGCTGATGAGACACTGTATTGTGAGCTCAAGGGTGGCTCAAGAAACAGCGTCCTGTGGGAGAGGAGAGCAGGAACTTCCATACGCAGAACGCTATTCCTCGGAGCCTGGATCCCTCAGCCTATCGTCGAAACCTCAGCCCGGAATTCGAAATTTGCGAGATACCCCTCTTTGTGTTTCAGCCGGAGGCCTCGCACTCCTAATTTTTATATGTTGGACGGGAATGGAGATAGCCAGCGCGATACTCGCGAGCATCACACCCTTTTTCGTTCGGCGCACCTCGCGAGCCCATCGAGTCCGGGCCGGCTATTAGACTTGCGATTGTCATCGGATGCCCCATGAGAAATTCTGCCCTTCCCCGGTTGTAATGGAAGATCAGCTTCCAGGGTCGAAAACTTCGTTCTGCTCCGCAAAAGAAAAGCGTGAAGATCTAAATTTTGGTTCGATTTCTAGTTCGTGTGATTTCAGCCGGTTGCGATAGACTGGGATGTCCGCTCTGAGGCACGCGGAAAATTTCTCACCCCTCGAACGCCACGTGGCAGTCGAAAAATGTTCAAGCGAGAAGAGCGCTTCCTCATCACCTCACGCACAGTCAGACATTCAATCGAATATCTTTGTTTAACTCGATCGCAGTTGTGGATAAAACATTGTTTCCCTCAACGCTCCTAGACCCTATTCTATTTGTTTTCCTGATCCACGTTATAACACGGCAGCAAGTCTCGTACATGCACCAATCGTGGAACATTCATGGCCTTCCGGAGAAGCTCTGTTGACACAGACCCCCGAATCGAAGAAATCTCAACATGGCTCCAGTGATCCAAGTCTTCAGCGAGACGATGGCTGCCTCTCTTAGTATCTCGGAGGTTTCGCGCCGCGCAAAGAACTCGGGAATGATTTCTCGGATTAAGATGATGTTTCGAGGACATGGGGACAAACCCCATCGAAATTCATGCTACTCACGTCTGACCCTGAGAGGGGCATCCATGAGCCATTCCTGACTCCAGTTTTTCTGACCACGTAGCTCTATCCGCTGATGCGTTTGCTTTTCTCCCTCCCGCTGGGCAGGCCAAGCCGTCTGCTGTCTCTAACCTGCCGGACCTTGCTTCGGAATTTACACTGCCCTAGCCTGTTTCCCTTAGCATGCTGCATCAGAGAGCACTCTTTTCTTATTCGATAGGATTTCCTTGCGAATTCAACACAAGGCCAGCCTACACAAACATGCATACATGCCTAGACTTTGACTTTCGCCCACCTGTTTTCTGGGTGCAATAGCGTCCGACATTTTCTTGGGGTGAGACCTTGACCCGAGTTCTTGACACCTCAACTCGATATCAGATGAGGATTGAGCTGAGATATGAAGGGATTCGGCATCCTCCTATTCCTTTGGGCTAGCGTCACCGTTCGGAGATATCCATGAATTTGATACGTCGATACGGACGTCATTGACAGTTGCCCGATTAGGGTATCCGTGTCTCATCCGCTCGAATTTTGTGCTTTTGTGCTTTTAAGTGAACGGGAGTCGAAGGCAACTTCTCATGAGTCGCTTCTTGCATGCGACGGCGGACAGGGAGATGCGAGACGAATAGACCTGACGCCGTGGAGCGAGCATTCTCGGCTAGCTTCGAGATGCGAACATTCTCGAAGGAATCCCTGTGGGGAGTCCTGCCGCAAATGCGACCTCGCGCCCGACAAGGCGTCTTCCCACAGTTCGCAGCCGAGAGTTGAACTGCCTGGTTAGCTCGAAGAATGGCAGCCGCGCTGAGCATTCCACTCCTTCGTCGCTTCGGTAGGAGCTCTAGATACGAACTCCGTCAGTGCTCTGTCCTTGATTTCGTTTTTGAACTTATCGTTTGGAGCCACACTAGGTCTGAGATATCAATATGTTGCTGCCGAGTGCCGAGCCAACGCTCACATTGTTGCGACTTCGTGAATTTCAGACGGGACTTCATTCTCGTCGCCAGCACATGAGAAGGTGACCGGCCGAGAGGAGAGAAATGCCGAGCTCGTGGCGCCCTGATCAGGCGAGGCATCCCCGTGACGGGGCTGGAGACTCAAGTAGGGGACGCCGCGCCGGGAAAAATAATGCTCGAGTCCTCTGAATCCTCCAATCCTCTTCGCTGAGCTTCCCACTGGTACCGGTATGATGCGGTCCAGGCGAGGCGTGGAATGACCTCTGAATAGGGCGAGACACCGTTTGAAGGACTTCGGTGAGGAGATCGAGCATGGAAACTCATTCACGGTATGACTCGACATTTCTCCGACATGAGCGTCCGGTCATGCGCTGGGGCGAGCTTTTAGAGAAGAACACCTGTGCAGTGGTGGGCTACTTCCACAGTACGAGCCACCATGCTGCTTTTTTGGAAACAATTATGCAACGGTACTCCAGCGCCAGTCGGCGCTGACGTGGCTCAGGGGTAGCCTCCCGCCTGGATGCTCATGTCATCTACGGCACTCATCATCATTTATCGAAAACTGAATCACCTTGACAATACTGCAGAAGTCATTGGGTATTCCCGTGTCCGGAAGTTCTGTCGTCTCAAGGCGCGCTCTATCGGTATGATATTAATCATATAACATAGGTTCAGAAGTCAGCTGCTCTTTCCTGGCCCATAAGCTGATGGGATATCAGGCTGTGTACACTGAGATTCCAAACTTCATTCACTGAAACAGGAACCGCAGCTCGAGAGACGACGAATTATATGTATTACGAATTAGCCATGAACAATAATAATCAATTGAAGGAAATGATCTCAGAAGTACCGGGATCTTTTATCATTGACAGAAAATTAAACCAATTATCGAACGTCAGAGGATCGGACGATCGTCTAGTAACGCATTCCGATTCCAGGCGGAATCAAGCCCGCTTCCGCACACGGGAGGAAGAGATTCCCGCGCGAACGGCTGAGAGAGCTCCGTTCGGCGCGGAACTTTCTGAATAATGAGAAAATGCAGAAATGATCGAGTTCGAAGAATAATTTTTCCGTGAGAGACCATCGGACCTCAAAGAGATGAGCTGGCAACAGAGGGAGAGATTCTGAGCTAGCACACGTATGAAGCTTCTGTCGAATTTCGAGAGCGCGAGATCTTGAGCATTCTCCATTCCAAAGATCGATTGTGATGTATACAGCCCGCGCTCCGAGGAAGAATTCGGTAGTACGATTTTTCATAACGGGTCACATCCTTGAGGATGTGAATTTTCGATCGCGAAATGAACTGCGGAGCGAATCCGTGGAGACCCACATGAGAGCATATGCGACGAAGTCGCGACGTGTCCGGCCATCAACATTGAGAAAGGGCGGCCAGACAGGCTCACGCCGCGCTGTTTATGATAACAGGTCCCGGTCGCCTGCAAAGACTAGAGTTCGGAGGATGGAACACGAGGACATGACATCTCAATTTAATGTAATAGTGAGCCATGATATGTTCCTGAAGTCCTTCACTGTTGATCCGAAGCGAGCTCCGTTAACTTGATGGTGCTCTCATCTGTCTCACTTACATGAGCTCGGGCAGCAGCTCGGCAACTGAAGGCACTGCTTGCGAGCACGATCCGAGCGGCAATTTAGCTTCGAATCTCCAATCAACCTCTGGCCGTGACAGCCCCATTCGGCAAGCGACTCTGGCAGACACCCGTCCCGAGGAAGAGCCGCAGGGATCCCCGCCGATAGATCCGGAGCCGGACTTTGAAGTGGGTAACTTCTAATTCCCTTATCGAGTCCTGTAGCGGCTCCCAGGATCCGGGGAGAATAGAACGATAATGATCTCCGGTACAAGCAACGGGTTTTTCGAAAACCCCGCTATCGAGTTCACGGCAAGCCCTCGGTATTTCGAATCTTGCGTTACTGGACTCGATAGCCCAAAATGAGTGGGTCGATCCCGAAATATACCGAGTGCCCGTGAATCAGCTGAAGGTCGAATCGAAAGTTAATGGAAACAATTATCAGATCCAGCCTGCGTTGACGAACACCAGCATACTCGGAACAGGAGGCAAGGTCCTACTGGTGCAGACGCCGCCTGTCGAAACCCGAGTCCGTTGTCTCGTCGACGATACCTCATTTCGAGATCTGAAATTCCCGGGCAATACACATGTGGCATGTATCTCGCGCTTGGAATATACCGTTTTTCATAGATTACAGCTCACGAGGTGCATACGTTTTTTGTATTCGTCGAACCTCGCCGTTACCTGAGCCGATTGCAGTGGGCCAGAGGAGCTTCCATCAAGGATGGAACTTCACGAATCTCTGCCTCCCTTTTTTTGTCGGAGGATTAGGTCCTGAGGTGGATGTCTTCGACTTGTTACGCAAGGGAGAAGCCCAACGATTTTCCATTCAGTTCGATTTCTCGTTTGCGTGATTCTATTCAGTGGCGATAGACTGAAATGTCCGCCTTGGTAAACACGGAAATTTTTCAACCGTCGACCACAAGGCTCTTGAAAAGTGAGTCAGCGAGCGGAGCGCTTTCTCAACACTTCACGCGCAGTCGGACGATGGATCGGTGATCATTGTTCGATTCGATCATACCTGTGAATAAAACATTGCTAGCTTGGACGCTTCCGGACCATGTTATATTCTAACGGGACGGAGAATAGAGAGCGATGTACCGATCGACGTCACACGGCGACGAGTCTCGAGGACGCACCACTGGCGATTCATACGTGCCTGTACGAAGAAGCTCTGTCGGGACGACCCTGAACTCGGGAGAATCTCAAGATAAATCGAGTGAAGCGACCCCCCGGGAACTACCCGTCTGTCGATCTCTTAGAGGTGACGCGCCGCGCGGAGTGCCCGGAGAGATTATCCTGAAACCGGCATTTTATGTTGAGGACATCGGAACAAACCCCATTCGAGGTCATGCAGCCCACGTCTGCTCCTGAGTGTTGCTTCTCCAAGCGGTTTCTGATTCCAGCCTCTCCGACCACGTACATACCATCCACTGATGCGGTCGCTCCCTCAACTTTTTCGCAGCCCGCGTCGAGCCACCTGATGGCTCGGTGCTCGAAAGCGGAACATTGTTCTGAGATGCACTGCTCCACCCTGATTCTTCAACCATGCAGAGTGATGACGCTTCCGATAGTCTCGATGGGGAGTGCATCTTCCTTTTTGGTAGGAGTATTTTGCAAATTAAACCCGAGACTCTTGTTGGCAGAAAGATATCCGATTCCGAACTTTCTCCACGAGTTGCGTGGAGGCAGCACGCATTCATCGGCCGAAGTTCTCTCCGAGTGCGAACTTCCTAGACCCCGTAATGTCATGGATCCCGGCATCGATGTGAGATAGCGGGATTCATGAATCATCGGATTCTCTCTTCACAGCGTTATCGAGCCAACGAGAATTTTCTCGCTTAATCGAAACCGAGACCTTCGATGTTGCAGTCGGGCATCGAACTGACCGAGTGAGCTTTTCGAGTCCGGTCGCGTCTCTCTGTATAAACATTGCTCCCGCTTATAGAAATTCTCTCTGCTCGAGCTTCTCCCCTCAACCCAGAGATCTGGTACGACCCGGAGACGAAAGTCCACCGTATACGCATAGTCCGTGTTGCTCTGTCCGAAAAATCTGTCTTCAGTCGGATTGGCCGTCACACTTGGCCAGCTTCGGTAAGGGGCTGGAAAGAGACTTAGTGAGAAAGTAAGTGGCGCAAAAAAAACACCGCTAGCACACCATTTGGAAGCTACGCGAAAGACACCACCGTTCCTTCGCCTGTTCACTCCATAAGATAAACGTGAAGCCCCGCCGTTGTTCCCAGCCGGGATCGTTCACGCGTACTGACGCGGGATTTCCACAACAATCCAGCTGTGAATCATTTTCTCGGAAACGTCGCATCGCGGAAATATCTCGCGTAGGGAGGTGCTGACTTCGAGCATCCGTCGACGAATCTGTCCTGTTCCTGTGCGTCATGCCTCTCGTAGCAAGTGCTCAAGTGTCCCAAACGATGCCGGATAACCCTTGATCCTCTTCTGATATCGGAGTCGTGGCGGCTTGCCTGAAGCAGGAGCAGTTTCTTTTCCCGCCTCCCGTTGAGGGCCGGCTCGTGGACTCGAGACCAGACGACCGAGCTTCGATCGTGCGACGCCAACGCCGTTAACTCGATAGAGATTAGCGCAAGATGCAACTACGCAGTCAACCTATCGTCGCATGCTTCTGTTGTGCGCTGTTGACGCAAATTCTCGAGGCTCGCCAGTACGTACTCATCCGGAGAATCTACGCAGGAGAGGTATGCCATTCGCCGCTAGTCGCTCTAAACAGGCTTCTGAACTCCATCCGGAACTCAGTTGCTCCGGGTAGATTCAGAGAGAATGATAATTAAATCGCTCAGAGGAGGGGGCACGCTAAGCGAATTGTTGCCGCTCCGGAGTTTTAGATGTTCTATCATGCGATGATTGTTTGCCTGTTGCGAGCTCGAAGGAGTCCCGGGTGGCGGATTGGCGCCTCCCCCTGGCGGCAATCGATCGTCGGGCTCCCGGAATATTATCGAAATTTGCCTTCCAGGAAGGTCAAGCGATGCTCGAGAAAGACGAATCTTCGCGTTTACTGGGCTGGCCGCTCGGCGTGAGCTCCGAAGTGGCCCTGATGGATTCAGCCCCGATATTGAGGGCCGTAGTCGAGAAAGACGACGACAGTAACGGTAGAGTGGGAAATTACGTCGAACTTATGTCTTCTCCGGATGCTCTGATATAATATATCCAATCAAAACGTCCGTGCTGCTCTCAGCGCTCACGAGTCGTATGCAGACTAAGCGATCAATTTCGGAGCGATTGCCTCCAATAATCCTGGAGTCTGGAGAACTGGGAAGGTTGCAAAAGCGCAAAACGCTCCAGAGCAATCGGATTGGAACAGACCACTTCAAGTTTTTCCTCTCAATGTTTGAGAGAAACCACAAGCGCATTCAGAGCGGATCGACCAGAATCTGAGCGGTCATTTCTTTCCACAGAAGTGCTCTCATCGAAAGGTGAAGTGTCTCGGTCAACGGGTTTGTATCAGGGTCGGAGCGCTCCACGACGCGTAGAGACTAGCCCCAGCGAGAAAACAGAAGAGATTGCCTCCGGCGATGAGGGGCTCGTAAAAGTCAAGGACGATCAACGAGAAAAGATTGACATACACAATCTCGAGGTGAGCTTTCAGTGTCCGTGGTGAGCGGGGCAGCGGTTCGGGTTCTCTCGTGAAGCACACTCGCGAGCTTGCGTAGATAAAAGAACAACGCTCCTCCACTGCACGAGACTCAAACACCTCCCAAGTTCGGCAATGATGAGCTCTTTTGCTTTCGCTGAGGTCTCAGGCTAGTGGAGAATCTGCTTGGGATTATCCCTACGTTGATCATTCTGTTTCGATCGAAGCTAGCTGAATCGGGGAAGGAGATCGGAGGCAGAAAAAAAACGAATGACCACTCCGCCGATTTTCGACGAGAGGACAACTCAAAGGAATGTGGGCGAGAATACAAGAAATCATGAATTTCTGTGGTTTTTCTGCGAGGCTGCCCAACCGTTTCAATGACTTCCGAATCGCGGTATCGTCAAGTTCAGTTTTCCGATTAAGAATTTTCAACAAGGTCCGATATGAGAGTTGTTCGCCAGGCTGGCGTCGCTGCAAGCTTCCCCAGCTTGGTGGTCGTTGTTTCTCGGTAGCGTGAGAGCTCGCTAGGAATTTCTGATATCGTCGCGAAATTTCGCTGAATCCAGGATATAGTAGCGCTATACTCCTAGTCCACCGGGTTCTGCCTAGGATTGAATCGGTTTAGAGTTTTCCTGCTGATTGACGACCGGCAGCTCCGTCTGGCGCCAGTCAGCCCTAGGATCGTTTCGGAATTCCCCCCTCAATGGCAGATCAGACGAGGGTCATGAGAGCCGAGTTTTCATTCAGTTCCATAAGCTTTACGGACGTTCACTCGGAATTTCTTCCAGCCGGACATGGCGGAAAGTCAAAAAGGATCGAATGCAACCGGCTCGGTCTCCGGCGAGGACGGTCCGAAGACGAAGGCAAGTTCATCCAGAGCGGATCAGAGGGATCTTGGAAAGTTAGACAGGTCTGGATAGCTGTCCCCGACGGCTATCTCTCCTCGCAGATGACTCGCCAAGTCTTATGTCTACAGGCGAATTCAGAGAGCAGCGCGGAATCGACCGCGGAGAACGAAAAGGAATTGGATTCAATAGACATCGCGAATATCGAACGAATCATGTCCAGGTAAAGCTTGTGGATCAGGCGGTCAACGAAATGAAATAGCTTCAAATCCGCCCGCAGCTATCGTCTACGACGACGAGCCGGAGAGGCTTCTCCCGGGCGTTCGTTGATACGTTTTCTCGTTTTCTAGACATAAGATACGCATCATGGGGGTGCCCCACCCAATGGCTGAGGTTCTCTTGGACCGAGAAAAAGCCGAAAGTGTGAAACGAGTTACGTCTGGACCGCACGAGATCGTCGGAGCCGAATCACAAGTAAGACAATATTGATCAGCCGCTCTTTTCTTCAGCATTTTTCTAAATGATTGGAAGAATTGCTTGAACGACAGAGAATGAATTCATCTTTTCCTCAGGAAAACCGTCGTGTGGAAGGTTCACCCAAGAGAGCTATACCGGAACAAGTGATGCGAATTGCCGAATGGTTGCTAAACCGCGGACCTTGAGATCTTTGGACTGCGAAATATGAAGAAAAGCTCCGTCTTGAGCTGATTCTCGCAACCAGAGAAAATCGACTGGTCGACGAGGACGTTTCATCAGTCAGACGACGTGTATGAGGGATCTGAAATTCGTCTAAATTCCGAGGGGCGGAATCGTGTACATGGGTGAAAGCGGCATCAAGCATGGGGGATGAATCCTCCTAGAATGCCAGTCGACATTATCCTGCCTTGAAATCGAGCCTGGGTGTCGCACGCTGCCGGTTGAACGGGACGCTCATTGAGCACTGGTCATGCGGCTGTAGAAGTGGGGAACTTTTCAGAAAACTCCCACGCTATGGTTCCATGATATGGTCGGAAAAACCGCTCACGAGAGAAATTTCGTGCAAGGCTGGGAACAGATCGGGGAAAAAGTTCTCGGATGCTGTCCAAATATCACAATGCTCCACTCCATTTCTCAAGAGAGATGGTTCATCGCCGCTCGCAACTTCTGAGAGAGGGGGAGGAGCTTCTGCAGTTGATCCGTTAGCGGTTTCAGAATTTGGAATTCAGAACCCGTGAGCCTATCATATACGAATAATAAATCCCATGATTCTCCAAGTTCGTCGGTGTAATTCAATTGGCTGTCAACTATCAACTAATGAGCTCAAAGCTTGTGAGCCATCGGACCAGATTAGAGAACCTGCGAAATGCGGACGTAAGAGCTTCTTGCTCTCGTAAAGGACGTCGACGCCGCTCTGAAATATGGATCACTTCGTGAGATATAGAGGATTTCTAGTCCTGAATATCACACCACATAAACGTCGCATCGGGCGCGCTCGTCGCCATCTAATCCACTGGGAGAGAATCGTCGTCGTCAAGCGGCTCCATCGGTTCCTCGCATCTCGAGTACGTGCTCCGATCGGATCCAGTGCCTACAAGTCCAGAGAATGAATTGCGCAACAGAAGAATAGATTCGACCCAGGGCGCATTCCGAACTCGGGGACTCCTCTCGGCCTCCTGGAATATACAATTTACGCCTCAGCGGAATAATTGAATCGTTTCTGATCGCTCTCAGTTTATCGCTCCGAAGGATTCGCGACGTGGGGAAATCGGCCAATCAAATTTGGCTACTTATCCTTGCCCACTCTCCTGACTGACTTGTGAGAGCTGGGTGTGAGGGAGATGAGCGCACCATTTCAATTGGATGATGAAATTATTGGTAGATTGAATGAGCTTCTCGCGGGCCTCCGATTGGTTATTTTCATCCCATGGACCACTCAGGATCATGAGCTACTCGCGAACAAGATACGTATGGTTGCCGACTCTCTCGCGGAGCCACTCCGATGTCTCAAGCCTTTCCGACGCTTGGGAAAGCATATCCGGGTCATGTCTTCCGTGGCACAGAAAAAACTCTTGGCGTAGACGCTGCTGGGACGAGTCCCAGAAAAACTTCGCGGTCGTTGACATTGTCTCCCTCGAGTCAGATTTTCTTCGGGATCACGCTGAAAATTCCTGACGTCAGGAGTCACTGGGTAAGCGACAGGAGTGCGATACAACACCGCACGTATGGAGGTCCAGCATAGAACTCGTCAGCCTGAGTCACTGAAAGACAGAAACGTGTACGCCTTACCACGAGGAAAATTGTCAAGCTGAGCCGATCCAGACATGCAGAGGACAATTAAAAGACGCGGATGCTGCGCGTCCACAGAATACGACGACCGCGGTTATGAAACCTCGGGCTATCCGTCCCTCACAAGTTGAGGAAAACGTCTCCTGAAGGATTATTTTTGCAACTCGAGGGTTCGACCGGAAAGTAGGAAACGAGGAACGAGGATAAGGCGAAATCCGTGAAGTTTGGTTCAGGCTTGATCTCGACGCAATTAGAACGTTTACCGTGGGCAAGATTTCGACTTCCGATGCCAATTGATGGGGCTGGTCAATTGCTTCCATTGTAGGTATCCCGGATGCTAATGATGACGCTCAGCGATCTAGACTGGACCATAATTCACACGGGAGGCGAAAGTCGGCTGGAATCAAGCGTATCGTGAATGGCGCTCCTCGAGACCTTGACTTGTGGGGAACTGTCAGAACCCGCGCACTCGTGCCGTGATGCGCAAGTCCGTTGAATTCTCGCACAGACGCGTGTGCTGGTTCTTGTAAACATGGTGAACTTATTGGCAGGATCTCTGCTTCTCGTGAATCGTTTCGACCCGGGCGAAACAGTAGCTAGTCCTGCCCCCCTTTCCACGCAAAACTTCCGAACGCATATTGGATTGGTAAATTGGCGCTTGAAGAATTGTGAGCCAAGCCTGACGGCGGAACAGACGAGCTCCGAGCGGCTTGCCGCAGGCCCTAACGACCGGAACCTCTCCCTGCCCGAGAATGTTCCCCCGACTACAAGTCATTGTATTCTCGAGACTCGCCCTTGACCTTGGGAATGAACTCGCGAGCCGCCCTTCTCGCCTAACCCAAGCATTCCCGTTCCCCCGGTTTTTCGTTTCCGCCCAACCGGCCCTGCTATGCGGCTCCTGTTGAGCCATTCTTCGTTTGCCACGGTTCGCAGATTCCGACGGAATTGAGCTATAATGTTATTGATCTACGGCCTAGCGCTCGCGTTAAATGTGTCGGTTTTCGAAATTTCTCCTCCCGAGCGATGAAATGTGTCGCTTCGGAGGCTCTCCGGAAGTTCGAAGGTCATCGAGTTTTTCTCCACAGTTATGAATCAGGCTCGCTCACCCCCCCCCCCCCGTAACGAGGCTGCTAACGCGATTAATTTACTCCATATCGCTGCCCTCTGGCTCCTCAATTTTCAGACGTCAACTCCCTGATCCGATCAGATGTTTTTCTCCGAGCTGAGCCCATTACGTCGATTCCTTCGTCACAACATTCAAAGGTCGATCGACTACTGATTCGCAGTCAGTGGAATGTCTCTTCTTTTTCTGTTCAGCCGGCGCGGTGGCTCCTCTTCCCTTCAGTCGCTCGCTCGCCCGCCCACCGTCAGATCAAGCGCTAATTGGAATAACATTTCACTTGTGGCGATTTGCGTCAACTTGTCCCCTGCACAGTCGGAATCTTTCCACGCGTCATCGGGCTCGTCGCACCCAGTCGCGAATGCTCGTGACCTGCTGTGGAGGACCCCATCTCACGATTTGTTTTAGTCGGCTCTAACTCTGGAGCTCACGGATTCGGTTTCTCTTGAAGGCGGCCTCCTTGCTCCAGGCGAAACATTGAGAACTATTCGATTGCCCATGACACGCTGTTGTCCTAGCAGCGTCATCACGCTCTGGATGCCGCCCTGTGGCATCGTTCCGGTGCTGCCCCGATCAGGGTGAAATGGTCCCGAACGGCCCTCGTGGAGCATGCTCCAACGATATCCACATTCCAGTACTCTTTCTGGGGCTCCACAATTGTGGAATTAGTGCCCACCATCCGACGTTCATCTTCCTCTGCCCTCTACCAAATAATCCGTACCGATCTGTACGAGTCCGGGGCGGAACGATTTTTTGCCAAAGACGCTTTCGACCTTTAGGCCGGCTTCTGTCGAGCTCGAATCACACGACACGATTTTTGTTGACACGCGAACTTCCGGAGAAAATTGCGGCGTTCACGTCAATGTTAGCGAGGCACCGGTCCGACGAACGAAGAGGTTTTTGACCTCGAGCTCCGATCATTGAAGCGGAATGCGGTTGGGTCAGAGCCTGATGCCTTTCACAAGGTTGCATCATGGGAAAACGTCTGTGCCTGAGCCTTCAGGCAAACCTCTAGGGACTATTATCGAGCTCCCAAACTGCAATACTCACGTTCTCCCAAGGCTCGGCTCTGTCCGGCGATCTCCGTTGCGCTCCTCCCTTTCCAATCAAAAGGATGAAACCGACTTAGATCTGTCGCCTGACAAGATCAGACCCACTTCCTCACTCTGATTGGGAGTCATTCACTTCTCCAATAATTATGAATCGACCAACGATCACTCCACAGATTCGCAATCGTCCCTCGCTGTTTACAGCACCCAGGCATGATTCCGACGAAATAATTACGCAGCGAGATTCGAGATTGAGTTCGTAACGACGATCGAGGGGGAGTTCGTTTCCGGAAGTAAAAATTGGTGGATTTAGGTGAGAGACGCTGAAGAGCGGTCCCACGCCATCTTTCACTCATGTTCTAGCCTTCGCTCACAGTGACCAGAGCATCCTCACCCTTCCGAGATGAATTTTCCTTCAATTAGCTCACGGAGCTGCTTGGACAAGCACTAAGATCCGAACGCATGTCGTAAGCAGCTGACGCTAGTGAGGACGGCTCCTACCCAGAATAAGCGGATACGTTCCGTGAGCTGCGTCTCTGGTCCCGTGGCGGTGTGTGCTGGGCGGTGTGTGACATGGAATTCGAGCCCATATCTCCCCGAGGGGGATTCTTAGCCGCTTCGGCCAAACAATACGTGTTCTCCATAGTGTTAGCGACGCTCGGTCTAATCGCCTTCAAAGGTTTCGTTCAGTGGCTGCGGAGATACCTACTTCTCAGAAATGTACCAGGACCAAGCGACACATTCCCGCCGTGGTTCCTGATGTGGGTATTCTGGACCAGATTCTCAGTCAAGAGAACGGATGTCACTCATGGTATGGATTCAACTTCTATTTCTTTCAGAAAAATAATTAGCTCAGGAGGCCGAGGATTCAGATTCTCATAGCTTCAGTATTGGCACTGGGAATTATCGGCTTCATTATTGGCGAGAACGGTCGTCGACATGTGCGAATCTAAACTCCCAGGGCAAGAGAAACGGAGCCTGAATACTGCAGAAAAAGCAGAGCTCAGAATCCCTTTTCTATCACTGTTGGTTCAGTCGTACGCTGAAACCGGGTCATAAAGCCGTAATTCCGATTGCTTGATATGAAAATTGAAACTTTTTGCGTGTATTTCGACCTCCATGTGGTATTCGGTTCATGCCGTGTGACAAGAATCCCGCAAGTATCGCAGGGGTTCGGGGAAGGAAGGAAAACACAATTATTGATAGGGACTGGTTCTCACGAAAACGTCTTCCGTGGAAGGAGCGCGCGCGCCGATCGATCTCGAGAGTGTTGAGCTGTACCGACTTGTCTCGATCGCCCCCAGATGCCGCTTGGCAGCGCCACTGAAGCCGAAAGAGAGCAAGCCCAGAGGAGCTCTATCGCTGGGTGCGTGGGAGCGCGAGCGGCCTTCGCCGGCGACGTCTGAGAGAACTCTTTTTATTGAAGAAATCCACGGATCTACTGTTGGTCTGACAAGTCGATCCGTGACACCGTGAGCGATGCTAACTGCTCGCGATGTTTTTGGTTTACGACAGAAGACAGAGCATGGAGTAGTCGAGCAATGCGATTGTTCCGCCTGAGTCGGGAGGTAAGGAACGGAGGAAAAGTATCCATTGGCTTGAGCTCGATAGAAAAGCTACAAGGGATACTCTAAGATCAGCCCGCTTCCCGAATATCGGCGCAAAGGAAGAAACTTGCTAGAATTGAGACTCACCAGCGGAGCGAACCTCTTCCGCGGCTCAATTTTCGTAAAAGAAGGCTGACGGTTTTACGACCTCGGTGCGCACTGGATGTGACAGAGTCTACACGGAGAGTAGCTATTCTCATATAACATCGAGCTCGAAATGTTGTCGTTGACCTCGAACTCGGGCTTTTGTAAGGAGCTAGGACAGCTTGTCGCCTCCATCAATTGATAGAGCAAGTCATTCTTCCGCAGAAATGGCGAAGACTTTAGGAGAAGTCGGGGACACCTACCCCCGAAAGAACGAAGGAGTCTGCAAAATCTACCTGGGCTTCACGCCGTTCGTCATGCTTACTCGAGCCCAGAGCGCCGAAGCTCTGCTGTCAGACAATGTAAACCTCTCCAAACCGATGACATACAGATTCTTCAACAAGTACATTGACGGCTCACTGCTCATATCGTAAGTCGTCAGCTCAGGAGCGGGAATCATTCTCGATCTCCGAGACCGATCCTCGGTCACGAGTTTTTAATGTCCTTCAAGCAGGCGCGTGTCAGAATTAGAGGCTTCGATTTTCCAGAACCGGAGACTTCTGGCGCTTCCAACGGAAAATCCTGACCCCGGCCTTCCATTTCAAAATCCTCGACGACTTCATGGGAGTTTTCAACAAACAGGCTGCCAAGTTCGTTGTGTATTTAGGCAAATTGCCCTTGAATGAAGAAATCCGGGTGTTGCGCGAGTCGAGTAAATGTACGATCAACGTTATCGGCGGTGAGCATCCTTTCGGTATTCGTCGAGTGCATTTAAGAACGTCCTACACGGACCGCACAGTTTCGCGAGACGGATTCCACTCCTCATAGTTTCGCGAAGAATGATCCCAACAATCGCCCTTCTCAACGCAGAAACAACTCTGGGACACGACGTGGATGCCATGTCGGGCGAGAACTACTATGGGAGAGCCCTTTCGTTGTGGGTATATGAGGAAATTCCGGATTTAGCGAGAGCTTGAGTGGAGCAAGAAATTATAGAGGGAGAGAGTATCGCATCTGAAGACATCCCCTCGCATGTTTCTCGCAGAACCAGATTTCGAGACTGAGGCTATTTCAGACTACAAGCCCTGATATTGGTCCGAAGTTTCCGTCCCTGGATGTGGTTCGACTCAATCTACTACAGGTTCACTCAAGAAGGCTCGCTCGCCAAGCAATGTATCAAAGCTATGCACGGACTCTCCACGTGAGTCGATCGATGGAATCCTGCCGGTCCCACAAATGTCCACGAAACCGCGGGCCCGACCTTCTGACGGAACGAAAAAATTCTGCGGAGATCCCCTGCCAATTACTGAGCCTGTTCTCCAAAAACCCTTCTTTGCAGCCGCATCCTACGCGCGCGTCTCCACGAGCGCAAAGAAGAAGCCAAGGAGCGAAGCAAAATCAACGGTACACTTACCCCAGCACCCCCGGAAAAGAAGAGACTTCGCACCTTGATAGAGATTCTCTTGGACTCCCATGAACAAAACCCTACCTTAGTGCCCGAGAAACTAGTCCAATCCGGAGTAGACTTGATGCTTTTTGCCGTGAGTGTATCCAATTTGAAAACCGGACAGAATCCATTGTCCTGCATGGGTCGCTCGGTGATGAAACAGGATGCCGATTGCCATGTCGTTTCTTTGGAACTTTTCCAAATGTTAACTAAATGTCTCCGAGTGAGTTCCTCGAAAAATCGACGTCTTCTTCCCAGGGCCAAGATACGACAGCGACCAACCTGGCGTGGACGGTGTTCCTGCTGGGTCACAGCCCGGATGTTCAAGAGAAGTGTCGTCAGGAATTGTTTCGAGTTCTTGGGCCCGACCCCTCGAGCCCGGTGACATCTGAGCACCTGAAAACGTTGAAGTATTTCGATGCTACGATCAAGGTGAGCTCACAGTTGGAACTACGACTTCCTCATCTCATATTTACGCCACTTCATCTTGATCGAGCTCCCATCGAGAATTGAGCTTCGTACATCGATTCCTATAAATCATGGGTTTCAGGAGTCCATGAGAGTGTACCCGCCTGTACCGTTGATCGGGCGACAGCTGGAGACAGATATCAAGATCAAAGGTAAGTTTCTGGCGGCTTCTTATTAGCTCGTTCGAGTCGCCTGATCAGAACGCTTGACGCTCCTGTAGGACTCTCGGGAAAGTCCCCGATAACGCTCGGTTCGATTCGATTGCCTTCTAGGGGACGGGAGATCGTTCACCATCCCTGCGGGGGTGCAAGTCTTCGTCTCAATTTTCCATATGCATCACGATCCGAAATACTTCCCCAATCCCGAGAAATTCGATCCTGAACGTTTCTTGGACGAAAACGCACCCCACAAGAGCCATCCGTTCTCCTACGTGCCGTTCTCTGGTGGACCCAGGAATTGTATCGGACAAAAGTTCGCCATGATGGAGGTCAAGGTGCGTAAAATCAGAAAAGAGAACACTGTTCAAGTACTGTTCGGAAATCGCCACTGTTCGGCCGAAACGTATTCCGGTAGGAGAGTCTCGGTCTCTCGAGAGATGTGATTCCAACCGGGAAATATTTTCTCGATCTAGCTTTTTGTCAGCTTGAGTCCCTTAAATTCCCAGGTTATTCTCGCTCATCTGCTCAGGAACTACAGATGGACGAGTACCCGAGCCAGAAAAGACCTGAAATTGGTTTTCGAAATCGTCATGAGAGTCAAAGGAGATCTCCGTATACGACTCGAGCCCCTGCGTCCGACGGAGCGTCTGAACAAAGAAAACTCGACACCGGACTCGCTGACAGCCTAGTATCCATCGTGACGAAATAAACAGGAGCTTACCCCGAGTCTAGTGTTCTGGATATTTGCATGAGGAAACGAGGTTCGTCCAGATGAGTCATTGTTATTTTCCACATCATAAATAAAAGCTTAAAGAGCAGAATTTCCGCTCTCGATACGACAACAATGCCCTTTATGTGCTTGTGTGGAGGTGTGTATGTTTGTTGTGAGGCTTTCAGAAACTTCCAGTCAGCTATAACGAGGCCAGCTACCTGGGAAAGAGTTCAGGGACCTACAGGGGCAACGAGCTGAAGGACTGCACCCAGGCGCTGCGGCAACAGACGAAGCGTTCGACGTCCTACTACAGGTCGCAATCTTGTGGGATCGAGGGAATCTCGCAATCGAAGTGAGCAAACGTTCTCGAGAAGTTACCGTAATCCCCGAGTGCCGAGTGAGACGTTTCGTTTGGCTGGATCGGACCGATAAGCACGGCACGGGGATCAGGGATCTGGTTTCTGTCCGTGGAGCCGTCCCTAGATTAATTGAAAGCATTAATTGATGAAAGCTCGGCCGAATTCGAACCCGGCCGAGACTAGAGCCAATTATACTCGAGCAACGACTACCGAATGTGTAGAATAATTTATCGTACCGATAATCATTTTCGTCGCATGTCGGCAGCATTCGATTCCGGGGCCTGAGGCATCCGACCCGAGTTTATGTTGGAATAATTCTCTTCGCCTAATATGAATAGAAGTAGTGTAGTAGTAGCAGTCTCTACCGGGGACCATTCGACCTAGGCGGTCGGCGTCGACGACAATATCAACGGCCCAAGGTTTCTTGCCTTAGTTTCGCTTGCTGCGGGGCTTCTTACAGACAAGGGAAGAAGACCGCTGCCGGAGATCGGAGGTCGGACGATCGGCTGATCAAACACTCGATCGAATCACTAACGAAGACGCCGTGATTGCAACGGACGATCTCCTGTTTACAGAGCAACTCCAACAAACTGAGAAATCCTTAGGTGCTCCAGACCTTGGCGTGTATCCGCTCCACCAACAGCAGAAGAAATCCCGTCCCCTATACCGCAGATTCTGCACTTGGGAGTCGGCCAGATGAGGGGATGCGCGAAGAGTTCCGCCCATTCCTCCAATTTTCCGCGCTTCCCCCGTTTATCTTCTAGGAACCGAATGAACATGGATGAGCGAGAGCGTCAGAATCAGGCGAAGGAAGAAAGGCTGGTCGGCGACCTTGGGAATCCGTCGCCCCGATCCAGCTGCCGGTAGGAGCACGCGAATGGTTGCGGAATTCGCCTTTCGATTACGGCCTATGTCGGTTAGCAGATAGGGCAAGAATCGGTGAGCGTTGTTCTTCGTTGCTAAGCCCATGCAAGCGTGTGCTCTATCCAGGCATCGTTGACGTGCGGGCACGAAACCTGTTATTGGATTGTTTTCTCCTCCGACTGCAGTGGAGGCAATGACTCGAGCATCGAACGAGAATGGAGAATAACTATTAGGACTCTCAGATGAGTCGCGCTGACTTCTTGGCGGGGATTCAGATGAAAAACATGCTTAACCGTATGTAGCGCGCGCCTCGCGGTGTCGTATCGAGCGTCGCTGCGATCATTCGATTCGTCTAACCCTCGGGGCTCGATTCGGTCGCCAGACAGTGGAGCTGATGATGACTAGACTACATGTCGCCAAACCATCATTTAGGAGTCGAGGAGCCTTGAGGACTTCTCCTGTAGCAGAAAACTTGGCTCTCAGTTCGAGAAAATGGAGTTTTTACGAATACAAGATAATGGAGGCGGTATTCCGCGCGGTCGGCACGGATACTCCACGTGACTCCCCCGTCGGAGTTTACTGGTAGATTGGAAAACAAGGTGGATAAATAAATTCATAGATCACTTGTGAGCTCCTAAGTTCCAGAGGAACCCGTCGTCCATGGAATCTTTCGCACCTTGGTCCGAACTAAATTCGGCCGCAACGAGTCGTCTGATGAAGCGGAAAGAATTCGATCGAGCTAAATTGTCGGAGACTCGCGCCGAGAATAGTGCAGACGGGAATTGGATCGGGACAAAGGTCGCAAGGGAGGTCGGTGGTCAGTTTTTGCTCCGGGGGGAAGCTCAATCACATTAGGTTCCAATTGTGAGGTCGTTGGCATACTGGCGACACGTTTGACGGCAGCCGCTGCTCCTTTCTTACCATCACAGCAGAATGCGTCAGACATACATTTTCTATGAACGTGAATGTCCCGCTCGCTCCCTCTCACGCGCTGACGCGTCTTCGCCTTGCGCATCCCGACTTTCCCCCTTACCGGGAACTACAAAGAGTCGTAAGGAGAACCCTCGACGCATGCAGATGGGGATCTCCCTTCAGCCCCCCCCATATAACGCGAGTCGTATAGGTCAATAACCTGTCAACGGGAGAGGCTCGACGACCGTGAAAAACCCCAGCAACACATTCCAATAGAGAAGCCTCCCAAAGTTTTCTTGTTCACCGAAGTTACGGCCGATGACGATGATCGTCCACTTAGTTCGCGGAAGGAACGCGTCTCTGTGACCTTTAGCGGAGTGAACCTTCATTCAAGCATCAATGGGTGACCCCTGGCGACGGAGAACTTCTGGGAAATTCGGCTTCCTCCCACCTGTATTCCAAACCGACTATCTCCCCCCCCCCCTCCATGCATTAGGAGAGAAGAGGACGAGCTTCTGATCAAACCGGGAATATTATGCTTTGCATTTCATGGTATTTGGAGGAACTACACCGTGTTTGAATATCTCTCGATTGCGAGTCCGCTGATTGGCTCGCACCGCGCGAGTTTCAGCGACCCGGGATATCATTCGTATCTCCGTAGCAGGTATCTAAATCATATGACCGTATCCTGGAGAGCTTTCGATTTCAGACTAAGCCCGTTCAGTGACCGCGTGACTAGCTCTCCGGCGACGCGAAGATCTTCGCGACGAAGGTTGGTCTCAAGAGCGACTTTCCTGAATACCCAGGAAAGTACGACCTTCTCTTCCATCATGGCGAATTTCTGACCTGAAAAGCGCCGAGAGAATCCACTGTAGCAATTAGAAAGTGTTTGCCTCGCAATGAATCTGGGAGCGACTCATCCGTCCTCAGCGATTTTTTCTCCGTTCGCGAATCTACTTACCAATGCAGTTTCTCGGACCGGCCGAGAAGGGAACGTAAGCATATGGATGTCGGCCTTCGCAATTCTCGGGTAGGAATCTGTCCGGATCAAATCTCTCTGGGTCAGGAAACGTTTTTTCGTCTCGGTGGAGCGTGAATATTACCAAAAGCGCTTGCGTGCCAGCGGGAATGGTTTTTTTCTCTGGAAGAGAGAAGAACAATTAGGGTCCCAACTGAGGCACTTTCATAATTATCGAACTCGCGTATTGGAAGCTGAGAGGAGAAGACTTTTCTAGATCATGTCGGGGTTCGGCGGGTCGGGGAAAGTCTGTCCGAGAAATCTGCTACATCTTATAGAGGCATTGTCGGGTCTCGATTGCAGGACAGAACTCCTCGGATCTGACTGGATCCTTGGCAAGAAGAACGCGCTTTTCCGTGTATGAGACCTCAAGTAGGGAGTCCCGTGTAGCATCGAGCGCCGCCGAGCGCAATCCCCGATTGCGAAGCTTTCCCTCCTTCCATTCCGGTTTTTTGATCTATCCGATTGCTCACTGAATTCGGTATCCGTCGTGAATTTCCTTCCGATAAAGGGGACCGAAGGGTAGAGTCTCTGAGATTCCTGCAAGTGTGGAACGGTTCGGGAAAAAATGCGTCTCGGTCGGATGAGCGGTGAAAGCGTTCAGTGATGATTTTCCCCAAATTCACACATTTGGTTCTCTGAGATTTCTCTCCGCTCCAACGGCTCCCGATGCGGAGTTCCGTGGTCGGCGTCATAAGCACCGATTCCATGCTCATGTATTATCCGCTCGAATGGGATGAGCCAATCTTACCTTGATGCAGCACTCGAGGTATTTCATCCTGGCCAGGTCTTCATTGGTCGCGTGCCGCTTCTGATCCCCGCGGAAAATCTCCTCCAACTCCTCGTAAACCCTCCGCTGAGCCTCGGGATTCTGCGCCAACAAAAACAGAGTCCAAGAGATTCCTGCAAATGTCATCGAGGTCATTGCTTCCGATCAGCGGACCGGAAGTTCGCTCCAGAAATTTCGGACACTGAGTGATTCAGGGAAGAAAACGATTCCCCTAGAACAATGCTCGCCGACCATGGTCCATCGGAGTCGCGGAGGGAAGAACCCCTCCGAGAGAACGACACACCTAAGAGAAGAGGAATGCCGGGAATATGCCCCGCCTGGGCTTGCTATTCATGCCTTCCCATTCTTCGCTCAGCTCAACGTTACCGGAAGAGAATGGACTTCTTTCATATGCGCATACATCGCGTCCTTGCGACGCGTATCTAGGTCGTATCGGAGCCGCACCGTCCGCATACGTAGCGAATAGACTTGGGGAAAATATGAATTTCTCTGCCGGAGCAGTTCTCTGCTGAGGTGTCGATAGAGCACATCTGTTGACGATGCTATGACACCGCAGGGCGAGGGGTTCCGAGAGATCGAATTCAGGACACCCAGCGTCAGGTCGAGCAACGGGGGAAATAATCGCGTATGCCGCGGTGTCGGATGGAATAAATTATTTTCTCTCGATCACCTGGGCTGCTCGAGCGGATATTTTATCGGACCTCTAAATGTCGGTTCGTTCTAATGCATGCGAGGCGCGAGGGTCTTATTCCAGCACAGTAAGTATATCCACCCACCCATAGCTGTAGTATCGTGCCCTTCGAACATGAATGTGTCAACTTCTTCCTGGATATCCTCTAAGCTGAGGTCACCCTCCTTGATGTGCCTTTCCAGGAGCAGATTTAGGAATGGCTTCCGCGTTTTCCGACCTATGTCGTTGTCGGTGGACTTGTCGTTTTCTAAGGTGTTCTGTATTTCAGCTCGACGCTCTCGGATGACCTGTAGAGAAAATATACTTTTTCGGAACAATCCATTCCAAAATTCATGAGCTCACGGAGGTGGGATCATGTGGGTGAACTAACAGATTTACCTTCATGGTGAAACTCTGCATTGTATCGATACTCTTGAAGAACTCTCGTCCCTTGCGAGACAACTTGTATGCAGGCTTCGTCCAGTAGTACGGCGCGAAGCTCCTATCCATGAAAGACTCGCCGAGCGTATACAAGGACTTCACGTAATCCGATTCGGGATTAGTCTGGGCCCCGATCCGAACTCCCATTGCCGTCTCTGAAACCAGGCCGAGGCTTTCTCAAACGCTTTGGAGTCAAGGTCGCTCTACGGATAATTCTCATTAGGAGCGCGACAGCTGTCTGGAGCGCGCAGACGACTTAGTCAGTACCGCAGATGATGTCCAGAGTACAGCTGGTGACATCCTTCGTGACGTCGAACATTTCCCCAGTCCTGCTCCTCCCCTTGAGCTTGTCGGCGAGAATAATCCCTTGCTCGTTGAAAACGTCTAAGAAATCCTCCAGGATTTTGAAGTGGAACGCAGGAGTGAGCATTTTCCTTCGGGTTCGCCATTTTGCCCCTTCGCTGGAGAATAGAATGCTTAATTTATTCGCTATCCGCCCACCGAAAGCCGGAATAGGCCGCTCCCGAATCGGAATCGGATTGATTGGATTCACCTCGATGCGATACCGATGAAGGAACTCACCTCGTGAGGAGACCGGTGCCCAACCAATCATGGAGAAGTTCATAGAAGCGCGACTTCTCGATGAGAGTCGTTGAGCTCATAACGAATTCCATCGATTCAGGAGTAGTAACGAACAATATGGGCACATGAAAAACCCAGCCCATAAACGTCGGGTACTCCTTGAACTCCCGGGTGACTCTCAGAAGGAAGTTGAAGATTGCTGGAATATTCGCTCATTGATAATGGAGTCACTCTATCGACCCACCCGAGAGTTGTGCGTTGACCAAGGGTGCTGGGCGTCGGAGGTCCCGGAGGCCGTTGGCTCAGCCCCGAGCCCTGATGCGAGTCACAGGTTCCATTTTCTTTCCCAGGCTGAACCTCACACCCCAACTCTGCCGTTCCATCGAGGGGGCATCGAAACAATTACTGGCCGCTGGGACCTCCAGCGCGAAACGAGCATTCTAGAAGGTCAAGGTGATTCTCTGCGTAGTGAAGTCCCGAGAAGGAACTCACGAACTACCCGGGACGCTAGAACCGCTCTGTACCCGAGCATCTCGTCGTTCTCTAGCAGGCCGCTGAGAACTCGGACACAACTTCGCGAGGGGCAGGGCCCAATCGCTTCAATCCAACGGGGTCTCAGCTCGAGACCCGATTCGGGAATCGTTCGAATGACTGATTTTCATGACCGCAAGAGAGGGCGGCCTCACTCCGATTCGTTTCCCGCCGACTCCCCAAATTCACCACAGGCTCACTGATTTCTTCTGGAGAGTCCCACAGTCTCCTCCGCATGCGTTGTTCCGGCATCAATGAATGCAATGCTCTAAAAGGCATCGATATTTTCTGATACCTGACTGCGATTTTCCGGCGGAGGTGCTCTTGCCAGCCAGGAATCTTCGGAAAATTCGAGGAGAGGGCAGTGACATCGGGACGCTGCGGCAATCTATAGAAAGACGCGCCACGGGTCGCATGTACATAGGGGCCCCATTAGACGGTCTGCCCTTTCCATCGGGGACCTTGTTAGGTCGAATCCGACTTTTGGCCTCTCGGAAGGGGGCAAAGACGAGTCTCCAGACCCGCCTCGCAAATTCCTAGATTATCGTCTGTGCGGAAGCCTGAAAAACCCGGAGGATATGATCATCATCATGAGTCGATCATTCCTCAGAACCACGAACTCGGAGTGGGTGATCCGGGCGGAGCAGAAGCACAGTGCGCTGAAACTCGAAATCATGAGCACTTGGTGCAGTGGAACGCATGTTTGTCCGAGGTCGGGGCGAACCGGTCCTGTCCGCTTTGCTCCGCACGAGTTTGATGTGAGTAGAAGGAAATTCCGCAATCGGAGACAATCGGTCTGCCAGAAGATTCCTCCGCAGTATTCGCTGAGCGTTGCTCAAGTGTCATTAGAAAAATTTCTGGGACCCATCTGCGATAAAGTTCAACTCCTTGATATCCGATGCGTTATGAAACTTTTCGCCCGCTGTCATCGTTCCAATTACACAATGTCAGAGCTGAGCGGAACCGCGACGCAAATAATAATCGGCGCTTCCGCGCCCGCTCCGTCGGATATCGAATTTGACAGCTGTCGACTGCAATGTAAAAGAACTGATGCGACTCTCCGATGTCATCCCTAGTCGGTATCCAAGACGGAGTACACTGCCCTAACTCCGAGAAAAAGAAATCCGTGGGAATCGATGGGGGGGGGCTTCCTTCCACATGAGATCGATACAAGGCCGTCTGGAGATGAAAAGAGTCTCGAAGATCAAAGAAGAAACACAATCCATTCCTGGACTCTGATGAATTCACCAATCACGGGATCACGATCGCGGCTCATCGAAATCCCCCACCATCCCCTCAATCTGTTCCTATCGCGGTGCGTTGTGCTCCTCGTCAGTTGTGCCGAAGAGAGCAAATCAGTCGGACGTATCTTCCCAGGGAAAAATCATCAGACGGAAGCGTTGAGCTTTCGATGCTTTCCGCGCCCGTCTCGAAGCATTGCACGAGCCCCCCGTCTGGGTGGCAGTCGGGCCTGAAGAATAGACGTGGGAACATCCCGAAAGCGCCAGCGACTTTGTCTTGGTAATCGATCGAGAAAAATTTTGAAATTGAATTTTGAAAAAAAAATCGACGAATTCGTTCGAATACAGTAAAAGCTCGTTATAACGACCCCCATTACAACGAATTTCTCGGTACAACGAACAAGGAATTTCTCCTCCTTTGGCCAGCTCGCCATAGGGATAGTGTTGAGCGGCATTCGTTACAGCGAAAACTCAGTACAACGAACCAGTTTCGTCGGTCCTTTCGTGCTCGTAGTAACGAGCTTTTACTGTATTCAACAAACGCCGGGACAGGCGACCGACAAGAGCTCTGTCAATCCAAACAACTAATCTCAAACCGTTGAGTAAGTCACCCACATTCGCATTCCTGATTCCCTAACCGACCGGTAGTAACAAGCTCAGGCAGATTCGCATGGTTCGGACGCGGGATCATCGGGACAATGAACGCTATCGGATGGGGAATCCGTCTCGCAATCAAGTATTGAGTGAGAATCGCTCAGTCATGAGAGCGATTCATATCAGCAAGCCCGTTCACCGGTGACTTGGTTGGCTTCTCACGAGCCCGATGGAGAGATCGAGAGACTTCTCAATCTTGTCCCCTGCTCCGAGGAACCTATATGAAACCGTATCGCACAGTATCGCTGTCGTATATGTACTCGGTCTCGTCCATGACATTGAGTTGTTTTTGACACGAAAATCGATAGAGCGGCAGAGAAAGGAATCGCGGTTTCCCGACTTTTTCGAGGCGAGTTGCTTGAAGCAATTCGCCCTCCACGCCGCACACACTTTCTTCTCACTTCCCACAGTGGCCAATTTTCCATTCCAACAATCTCATCTCATGATCGATGGATGCATTGTGTATGATGGACAGCCTGAGGCAAGCACATCCTCTACTCCTACTGGAAATCATAGTTCGACTTAATCATCGAAATTCCAATAATCCATCAGAACGTGGAGCGCAAATTGGATGCCTCTCCATCGAGCCTTTTCGTTTGGAATCGCTTCGGCCCATCGTCCAGCACAAGACTCGTGTCTGGAAAAGAGAAAACGAGCGCTTTCGGCTTGTCGGCGCCCAATATTCGACAAGCCGGGCCGATTGTTTACAACGCTGGTGGAGCACTGCAGCAGACGGCAATAAAAAGTGACCTTGACTCCATTTACGTTCACGGTACGATTTTGCGGCGCATTTCAAGTCTGACGATGCTCTCCGATGCCGTGCGACTCATGAAAGTGCCGATTATTCCCTTTGCGAGCGATCAATGCTCGAGAATATTTCAGAATCGAGAACTCACCTTGCCCGCCATTATATCCATTGTCTCGCATCATATTCCAGAGCTCGTACTCTATGCCGAAGGGATTCCACCACTCTGGACGCAAACCCGGGAGTTTCATTTTGTGCTCAAAGTATTTTCGCCGCAGTAGATGGAAAACGTACAGTACCAGTACGCCGAGACATATCGTCGAGAGGAGCGTTGCGACCACGCTCGCAGATTGCATCGCTCCCGGGCTGTTGATCCACACTCGAATAATTTCTTCCTCAAATATCACTCGTGGAAACACTGAGCGAAAGATGCGAGAGACCGCTTGTTCTAATGAAGAGCCCCATGACGGAGAGGGGAAGGAGGGAAATCGCTCTCTTCTCTACAAATCCATCGGATAACATTCAGAAATACTTCGGACTCAAAGAGAATGCACCTCACGCTTTCTCTCTCCCGCTGCGACCGGTGGCCGTTGCTCTACCGTCGTGAGTTTACACACACACACAAGGCAGTAAACATGGCGTTTTTCGTGGCGTTTTGGAGGGAATATGGGGACCTCGGAAACTTACACCAATCAGAAACCAAGCTCTTGTACCTCTGTGGAGAGACTCTGGAAAGAGGTAGTTTTTTTGCTCCGGACCGTCACTTTTTTCTTCCGATTCGTGCTGACGCTCGAGTTCCCGTGGAATCGATTAAGGAAGGAGCAAACACCGAATCGTTAGTAAGATTGAGTCTGAAACTTCACGTTTAGCGTTTCATTCGACGAGAATATGCAAATCAGAAGTTTTTCTGAGTGCATCTTTTTTTGCGAAAAAAACTGATTTTCATGAAATTTCACTGCCAAAAAAGTATATGGACCAGGGCGGACCCGGACGGCTCATGGGGGGAAAAATCTCCGTTCACCCCCTCGCCTTCCATTTCCGAAAAAAACCAGCAAGTTTTGGCGAACATGAATGCGTGCTATTCTCAGATATTCGAGTTTGGGTGCCCCGGAGGACATTTGCGGAGACAATCTTCAACTCCCGGATGAACGAGTGCATCGATGGGTTGGAGAAACTCATTTTGAGTTATGCTCATGCTGAAATTGAGCAACTAAGCAACAGATCTCACATCAGAAAGCAGATCAGCAGGCATGTGTCCCGAAAAAGGGAAAAACTCGGGAGACATAATTCGAAAGCGGAACGGTTCTTCGATAAAGAAGCTGAATCGCTCGAAGCCAAAAACTTCAATTCCATCGTGCACTACACTGAGCTACCCGCACAAGAAGACGCGCCCGAGGAGCCGGGACCATCCGAAGCGTATCAAGGGACACCTCGAGCGGGACGACCAGAGAAAAATTTCTCGAACTCGGCGGAGAGCACAAAACGGAACAAGGTCAAAGATATTCTGCCTGCCGGACCTGCTAAGTTATTGTACGCGGCTCTCCGAGGAGCTCAGAGCCAGAAATTTCCTCTGATGACTGATACGAGTTCGTACCACGAGAATAATCCAAAAAACTCACTGAAATAATTTCTGCCGCCTAAAATCGGGTTTGGCCACACCGTGCACCGTCGAAATTACGGAGCTGCATTTCGCTCAGTGGACGGAAAACTCAAAGGCATCGATCTCAGGGCAGACGCTGGAGTTTCTGTGGCCGGCGGTCGCCGCTCGAAAATAATCGATCTCGAGCATTCTCTTGAACCTCGAATGCCCAATCACCGCAGCTGCTTGAGAGACTTTTACATCGATCCCGCGAAAGACAAAATCAGAGAATTTTTCCGATTTGCGTGGAATGAAATCCGGAGGAGTCCTCAATCTGGAGCGAGTACATACGTTGCCGGAAAATCGGAGCTTGTCTCCGGATCCGCCTTAATCGGCACCATTCATTAGTACCGGGCATGCTTCGAGACGAGCCGAAGTTACAAATGATTGATTCTCTCCATCGTCCGAACCATCTCTGCCAGGACACGATGGAGAACATCAGTGGTATCAGGGTAAAAGCGCGATACCATCGGGGCCCTTTCGAAATCGCGTATCGGAGCTCGATCATCGTTCTGCTTCGTTCTCCGGCACAGTGCGGACAGCGCGACCGGCCGCAGCTGTGCCAATCTTGCCGCGCCGACGTCAGCGTGATCAACACAGAAAATATGATGATGATCGACAGAATGCTGTTTCTATTTTGGCAGTGCGAGTACGCCGATCCTAGTCGGTCAGAATGGATATCGATACTTCATCCGACATGCGAACATATTCACTCGATGCGTAATATGCATGATCTTGGAGAGCTGCCTACGTATATCACCGCGGACCCCCATCGAGGGGCAGAACCTTCATCTCAAGAAGCAATGTTTCTCCCGGAAGCCTCTCGGCCGTATCTCTTACCATAGTAGGTGGTTCGCGAGAATCCCTTTCGCGCCTAGGTGCGGAGACTTTGAAGAAGGATGGCGATCTGAGCTCGCCACTCGGATTCCTTTTCTAACATCCGATAACACTTCCCAAGCGTTTGAATGATGTCGACTTTGCGGCAGAGCGGGGGCTACTCAAATCCACCCTCACAGGTGGCGCGCCTCCCCGCAGGAGATCGACAGTGTCCCCCGTTGACTCCAATGAACGATCCAGCGTTGCCTTTTTCGGACAAAATGAATCTGCGGGCACTTTCCACAGTAACCTATCTGACCGCCGCGAATCCGTCACACACGCGCAAGATTACGCGTTTCGGCTCGGCTCCGGTTCTCGTGGCAAAAATCTGCTCATGGGTCGTCATATTGAACCGTACCAGTCGCGGCTTAGGATTATTTTTTCGTCTCATCGAGGACGAGCAGGAGTCCGGATAAAGACCTCCGATCCGAACTAGAACAGATAAACAAGGTTGCTTACGCACACTCTTCCACCGGGAGCCGGCGCACGCGCTTATAATTATAAGCCTCGCACGCGCGGGCGAGGCCGCGTGTTTTTTCGCCGCAATGGCCCGTGGAGGCCTCTTTTTGCCCTCGCTCTTCGACTGCTTCATCCAACTTCGGCCGCTTTTCCGGCGCGGTGTTTCGTGGGCTCAGGCTAGGTGCAAGGGATAAGAATGTCGTCACACGGGGGAACAATCATCGCGACTCGAGGCTCTGTAGTACAACCCGCTTTCTTTAAGGAATTGGATCGGACGAACGTTTACGAAAAAATGCCCCTGTGCTCGGTTACGAACCGGGACGATCCCTCCTTTCCATTGAGCTGGTGGTGGGCGCCGTGGGCGCTAAGCGGTGGCGACCAGTGTCGGTGAGGTTCGGGATCGATCGCAAACTGCCGGCTTGAGAGAAATATTTATCATCGCGCGAGATGTGGCGAAGATTCGATTGACGGGTCGTTCCGCGGGCCACGGAGTAACCTGCCGGGAAGAATGAGGCCTGGACGGAAAATCGGGAGATATGATCTCGGAGTCACTGTGTCGAACGAACTTTTGTTTTGCTGGTGTTTTCCGAGGCAAAAGCGGGGGTTCGCAAGTTTTGAAGAGTTCGTAGGAGGTACAACAGAGGATTTCCTCGGCAGTCCATTAGCGGGTGAAGGGAATTATCGGGCTTAGGCTGTACGGTCACAGAGGCAGCCAATCTGCTTACCTATATGGATGTCCTGCTGTGGTTTCCCGCGCAATAAATGGGAAGGATAGGAACGAACGTTGAGCCTCCTGCGATGTAACAAATCTTTAATGAATCGAAGTAAACAGCGTTGGAGGGAGCTGGGAGCCGATACTTCCCAGCGGAAATAAGAAACAGACCACCAACTTTGCCCATGGTCAGACTAACCAGCATGAGGGTGACAACAATAAAAATGACCTTACCTCGAGGCCCGCCATAGAGCGTCAACGCACTCGCGACGCCGTGGAAGTCCCGCGGAATCGACTCGCATGAAAGGAGAGATCGTTGACCTTGGGAGCCCATTCGTTCCCCGCACATTACGGTCTAGCCCGATGAAATAGAGACACCGAGAGACGACCGGAGAGATCCACGAACGAAATGTCCGCAGGATAGTCTTCTCATGCAGCGCTCTCCGCTGATCCCTCCACGAAGCCTGTCTCATGACGACAAGTTATTTCGATGATTATTTCGATAGATTCCTGCTCCCCGAATGAGGCGAGAGACTCGGAGAGGTTTTCCGGCCTACCGTTCGCCCGCGGAGACGATATTTGAGGTCCTGAGGACGTCGCTCATAAAAAATCCCACCAACTTTGGGCATGCAGATTGGAGAGAGACGAATGCTCCACGACTTGAACGATGGGTGCCTTGCTGATAGGGACTGCCTTCTGGTTCATCCAATATCTTTATCCCGGGACGTTAATTATAGGATAATATCTTTATTCCAGGACGTTCAATATACAATACATAATAGAAGAAACTATGCATAATTGCGTATCTGCAACGATGTGTCTATAGCTCCGTGTGATTTGCACATCAATTTCATCGCTAGACGTCTCCATCGCCGTCATTTGTCGTCCTCAATAAAGTCTCAATGCACCGTAAACCTCAGCCCGAGAGCGCACAACGAAAAGCGATCGAAAAATTGACGTTTTTTTTATCAAGTCCCTCGGCGCGAAAATCCGCAGAAATCGGAGAGGCGCTTTGAAAAGCGGAGGTCTTGACGGGCTTTGAAAAAAAAACCTTAGAGCAAACCGGGGAAATGTCCTGAATGAGCAATCTAGGTTTTCACCTATTGTCGGCCGCGAAAGAATCTTCCCTCGGTCGTACCGATACAAATCGCAACTTTCCGAGTTGGTGCGTCCTTGTTGGGGGTGGTCCCTCGGTTTCGAGTAGATTATAATTTTTAATTTTGAGATATGGGCGAAAAACGACTGAATAATTTTGAGACGGTGTAGGGGGCGAGGGAAATTACGGGATGAGGAACGGGAAAAGGAACAACGACATGGACATGAACGGAACAACGAACGAGAATCTCTGCTCTAGCATCGGATCAATATTTTCATCGTCGTGCACTTCATATACAAACTCACTCGCTGTCCTCAACCCACTCCATGCGGCGGCAGCGCGCCGCTGCGCGGACCCGGCGTGTGAAGTGATAAACAATTCATTGCCAGGCCAAGCATCGTGCTACGGAAGGATCCCGGACGCCGTGAGATGTCCTTGGTGATTCGCCTTGATTGATCTCTTATATATGGCCCCGGGTGAAGATTCTCAATCGCGTATCCCTTACGATGTCCCTGGAGCCTCCTCCGTGACATCGGGAACGAGCAGATCGCCAGCAAAGGAGTCGACAATACAGTATCCCTGGCTGCTCATAGCGAATCTGATCGTTCGAGATACTGTGGTCGAGTTCGTCTGTGG